GAAGCCGCTGTCATGGCACTCGTTCCGGGTGTTCATCCCGGACTGCGCTTTCCAGATGGGGATCCCCCGGGAGCGCCGCATGTACCTGGGCAACTGGCTCACGGAGAGCACGGCAGATGTCTACGTGCGGGAGAAGCGCAACGTGGTTGTGGAGATCTGGGGCCAGGTAGCGCAGAAGGTCCCCAACCTGAACCTCGGGCCAGGCAGGGAACGCAGGGAGGACTTGAATCACCCGGACTGGGCGGACCCGCTTCCGCCGCCAGCGGTGGACATCACGGACGCAGGACCGGAGGGCCGCGAGGACCAGACCGAAAGGGAAGGGGACGTCGACCCGCTCATGGTCAGTGGTGGAACACGGACCCGAGGACACACCAGTGAAGGCTAAGGACCTGTTTCCCGCCACCCCGGACCTCCCCCTTCGGGTGGTGGCGGCGGTCAAGCGCACAGGCAACGCCGGCCAGTCCAGAATCCACCTGCTGAATGTCGAAGGCACGGCTGTGGGGTGTGGTTGGCGACCGGCGGCTTCTAAGGTTCAGGAGCTCTCGGTGCTGGACTACATGACGGAGCAGGAGGCCTATGGCAAGTGCGAACGTTGCTTCAAGAGGCATGGCTTCCCGGCGGACTGGGCACTGGAACCTGCGGAGGTCCCCACGCTGCAGGAGGACTCGGACTCCTCGACGGACTCGGGCTCTGAAACGGATGACTTGGTGGACACCCAGTCGGAGACCGAGGTGGTGGCCCTACCGTTGGTAGCCTAGGTGCCCCCGGCCCTGGCGACTAAGGGGATGGGAGGCCCGGAGCAGGCCATGGCCAGGGCCCTCAGCACAGACGCCAGCTGGAACGGTTGCACCTAACCTTCAGGACGACGCTCCTGATGTGCACGGCAGCACTGCCACAGTTTGGCAACCTGAAGGTCACCAAGGAGGAGCTGGATGATTGGTATGCCTGGTTTTATGGGGAAGACATCGCCGGCAGGAAGCCTCCCCCGAGCGACACCACCTTGCTGTTTGCAGAGCGCAATGCGTGGCGCAAGATCCACGAGATGGTGCACCAGGGCACCACTCTCTCCGATGCCCTCAAGAATATCAGGGGCGACTTCCTCTTCTGGCAACGGGAGGTCTATGAGCACCTCAACAGGGCGCCGGAGAAGGGGAAGAGCAAGGGCAAGGTGTGGCAGACCCAGTGGGAGAAGCCCAAGAAGGGGGGAAAAGGCTCCTGGCCCTCGGGGCCGACCCGGTCCAAGCCGGCAAGGGCGGCAAGGGGAAGTCCCCCAACTCCCCCTCGGTTCCATGGCCGGACCACTGGGCGTTCAAGAATCCCAAAGGGGTGGCGTACTGCAGAGATCATCACCTCCACAACAAGTGTTCGGGATCATGCGGCCGATCCCACAACTGCCCGGTCAGGAAGGATGGATGGGTTTGCGATGCCCCCCCATCGAAGCATGTGCCACAGGCATGCCCTAGTGACAGGAGGCCACTCAGGGTGCCATAGGCCCCGTGGCTTCCCGGTCTCAGTTGGGACCACAGGCCACCAGTGCGAGAGTGCACACAGAGGGGGAGAGCCGACCCCACCAGAGCCACAGCGAAAGGCAGACAGAGCGGGGGAGGCCAGGACGGCCTCAGATGGGAGGGGACTTCTCCAGGGTGCCACCGGCCCCGGAAGCCCCTCCACCGAGGAAGAGGAGCGGTCCCAGCCAGCTCCAGAAGGGCGGAAGCATCCCTTTCCCCCGCACCCACCGAGGCAGTGGGAAGACCCCCCAGACACACCCAGAGGTGAGGATCCGCCCGGCAAGGGGCGCTCCAAGGGCGGGAAGAACCGCCAGGGCAAGCAGCCAGCCCAGGGACAGATGACGGGAGGGTCAGACAAAGGACACACGGAATCCCTAGGGGGGGCAAGCCCCACCTTCCCATGGATGCAGAACATCCCGGAAAGACTGAGGCTCAGACTGAGGTGGACGCCACGGCCGGTTCCGGAGTCGTCCAAGCCGTCCCTCATCCTGCTGTACGCGGGGAAGGATGATGCGGGGGCCCTGGATGCCTACCTCCATGCCTACAACCCGGCCTTTTCGGAGTACATTTGGGCGGTGGATATCAGGCGAAAGGGTGGAGACCTTGGACAGGACATGCTGGGCGAGGAGCCTTACTCTACGATGTGCTCCATGGCCATGGCGGGCAAGGTCGCCTTGGTGGGGGGCGGCCCCAACTGCAGGACGTGGAGCATCCTCACATGATTCCCCAAGCCGGGGGGCCCACCGCCGGTGAGGGGCAGAGCAGAGCAGACCCTGTGGGGCTTGGAGGGCTTGGAGCCCCGGGTTATGGAGGACACGGACAAGGACAGCGTGCTCATGCTCCGACAGATGTACCTGACCTCGCTGGCCTACAAGTGCTCGCTGGCGGCCAACCACGTGCCCCGTGAGTTCAATCAATGGGCTGATGAGCTGACACACCCAGATTTCTCTGGGTTCGACCCTTTGCAAAGGGTCCCCAAGCAGGAACTCTGCGAGGAGTTTGTTTTTCTCCCGCGTCTCCTGAATGGAGACGCTTTTGATCTCAGCGTGGGCCCACCCATGCTCCCGTGACCGGAGCCGGTGGGTGACTCACTTCCCCTGGTGGCAGACCCCCCTGTGGCCTGGGTGCCACGGGCCCCGGCTCAGGGGCGGGCGCTATCAGTCTGCACACCCGTTCTTCAGTTTTTGAGATTGTGAGTTGGGTGGCCCATGGGGCCCACCCAGCCTTTGTCATCTGACAGGGGAAGATGAGTCCCTGGCACCAACACACTGCTCGGATAAAAGAGTTATCGCGTGCCTGTGTGTGGTGCCGTTTGGTTAGCTTGCATACACATTTCATAATACCTCAGGAACACGTCACACCCTGAGGCCAAATCCCTGCTGTGTTGCCAAGGGAATCTGCGCAGGTGCCAAAGCAGCAGTTTTACCCGCCGCTGCGTGCTGCGCAGGCGAGGGAGGGAGTGTCCCGATGAACTCAAGAGAGAGGCCCTTGCAGCATGTTGTCAATGAAGGTACCTTGCCACCGAGGCTTGTCAGAAGGAGCCCTTCATTTTTCAAATGCAGCTGGCATGCCAACACGTTGCAAAGGGGTCTCTGGGCTTGACGCATTAAATCACATTAAGTGTTGGTTTTGCCGTCGAAAGCGGGCAAACATGCAGGTCAAAAGGTGGACAACCTGGAGCATCTCAGCGTAGCATCCGTGAAGAAAACTGCTCGAAGCAGCTGACGGGTTCCTTCGCCCTTGATCCATTGGTTTCTCTCCTCCACAACCAAGATCTACTCCTGCAAAATGTCAATCGAGGTCTCCCAAGAGGAGCTTCCTCTACAGACTATGTCGCTATTCAGATGCCCATGCTTTCCAGGGAGCACCAAGCCCAGAGAGCACTGAGGTCATAGTTTTCACGAATCTGACAAAGCTGCAACAGCACACGGCATTGAAGTAGAACGCGTCAGGGACCTTCCGGAGAGTTCAAGCTGCTCAATCTTCCATGTTGCGCACGATGTCCAAGCAACCGAGTTTGAGATTATATAGCATTATGATGAGTGACAGAAAGGCGCCGAATTTCTTACATGCCTTCCCAGATAAGTTCTATCGCGCGAACCACCATTACTGTGATGTTTACACCAGGCACCTGTCGGTGAGACCCAGCGGCTAGCTGAAGCGACCAGGGACTTCTGCAGGGGGCCCTAGCACTGGGAAAGCAGGGGCCATCTTGGCAAACGGTACTTGGGGGCTATCTGCTTTTTCTCGGGCTCGAAGAGCTGTTTGAAGCAGCCATTCCGTGACATTCACTTAGGTGTGTGCGGAAACGATATGCACCGCACTGGGAATGGTTTGAGAGCAACATGAAGCCAAACTCTTTGGGAGGGTCCCCCATTTCAACCAAGTCAGATGCAGCATCTTGACCATCCCTCACTTGCAGAGCGCCCCAGCGACATTTTCCCTCAATTGACTTATCATCAGGCGAGGAACCAAACCATCACCCGTGCTCATTCAGGAAACCGGCAGTGCCCAGCACCAAGGTCGGCACCTGGAGGAACGGAGTGACTTTCGCTTCCAGTGAGCTTGCGCATGGCGAGGTGCAGCCTTTAGACTCTCTGTAAAGCACTACGTTGCTGTACATCTCTATTCATGTTTAGTAAAAGGGACACGGTTTCAGAGGGGTAGCTTAGTCGTCATTCAACTGCATCCCTTAGCGCTTACATGCAGTGCAGTTTGTCAGGCTTCTTTTGACCAGTGGTGGCTGTTGATTGTCAAGGTATCTTCGCTGGAGCACCGCCATCTAGTGTTAATGCAGTGTTTCACCCACGCAGGCGTCCAAACATCGCTGGATGCCCCCTCGTGAAGTTGTGCGTGGAAAAAAAACACATGCCAGTCATCCCAAAAAGCGTTGCGTTGCTAGTCATGCGTGTTGCCATCTTGCTGCTGGAAGCAGTGCACAGTGACCATGCGTCTTCATAGTGGAGCATTGCCAGTGAGCAAATCGGTATTTTAGACCGCTTGTTCGCATTGTTGCTGCAGTCGATGTAGTTCCTAGAGTCAAAACTGCAACGTTTGTTGATTAAGTTACTATGTTTCGATGTTCTCCCAGGCACAGCATATTTCAATGTTGGTTTCCAGGTAGACTAAGTAATAAATTGGTTTCCTTTAGTTTCCCTTTACCACGGACCAAGTTCCCACCCTTGTGCCAAGGTCTTTGCAGCAACCCGTTATTTTTTTTTCCGCCCGGCGGCCAGGGCATGCGTACGACCCCGGTGAAACCCGCGACTGAGCGCGTGCCCATGGCTTCGTCTGGCTTTGTCAGCTTGCGCAATAACATTATTTAGGTCAAGAAAGTCGATCTACAAAACGCTGTCCAAAGACAGCAGGACACTCACATGCTGATCTTGGTTCCCCCCCTCCCCCCCATTCCAAGATGACTCGCGGACATGAGTCGCGATGAGACATCTCATTTATGTCACCTGCACACCTTCCTTGTCACACCCTTCACCCCTTCACCCTTTGGCCAGCACCTTTGGGGGCGCTGAACCATGGCGAAGCATCCTGCCCGCCATGCCGGCCTCTTGCTGCTGGCGTCGGTTCTTTGGCTCGCCGCTCCCTCCTTCGTGGTGCCCCGGCGCCTGGCCGCGACGGCCGCCGTGGCTCCGGCCCTCGGCCTCCTCCTCCCAGCGCCGGCGGCCAACGCAGAGCTGTCGCCGCCGCTGCAGCGGGCGGTGACGAGGTACGCCGCGCAGCTGCAGAGCGCCATGGACTTTCTCTACTTCGTCGCCTGGCAGAGCTTTGGATCTCCAGCCCAAACCCACTACCTGGAGTCTCCACCCTTTAAAAATGGGGTCATGACCCCTTTATTTTGGGTAATGACCCCATTTTTAAGGGGTCAAGGAGACTCCAGGTATAGTTTACCTTTCCCAGAGGGTGCCTTGGTACCTAACGAGGTGCTGAACGACCCCTTTTTACCCCCCAAAAGCCATCCTCGTGAGGTACTTGGACCCTCTGGGTTTGTTGGAGCTCCAGCCAAAACCCGCTACAAATCTTTTCGCGGAGCCGTTCTTTCAAACCCACTATAGTTCTATTCGCGGAGCCGGTTTTTGCGTTGCTTCCGTTCGGGTTTGCATGGGCCCTTCGGTTTCCCCCGGACAGCTGGGAACCTTAGCAACAAGCTACTCATTTGATCCAAAGGTCAATTCGTGTATGGTTGTTCAACCAAGATTGTCAAGCTTTATGATGCTATGTTCAACACAGTGCGATTTTCAAGATGTGCCCATTTGGCCAGCGGCTAGTGTTTCTTTTGCTCTGTATGCATATCTTTTGGAGCAGCAGGTGGCGGGTGGCCGTTTGTCGGCTAGGATCATGTCCCATCAGCCAAGGACATCAAGGAGTACCTGAGGAGCCAAAATCCCAGAGTCTTCCAGTTAGCGATCAATGCGATAGACACGTCTGGTGGCAGCAACACCGCATTGGAAGCTTGACTCTAGTAGTCTCATCTTGGCTTTCTTCTTTTGCACGCAACTTTGTTTGTGGAGTGAGCGTCAGCTGCCATGTTATGCTTTTGGGCAGCCCCGAAATCGATGAATCCCTTCCAGGTCGGAAAGCTCAATAGCATCGTCTGTGGGTTGGTCAAGCCTCAACCTTACCCAGTGATATTGTAAGAACCGCCCTGTGGCAATTTGTCATTCACACCCTTTGGTTCGTACCTGCGGAGTGAGTTCAACCCTATTAGGGACCCCTCTTGGGAGAAGGTGCTTAAGGACAGAGCACACCGACTTGTTTTCGCCACTCCCCCTACCGTGGGACTTGAGGCGTTTGTTCGCAGGCGACTCCTAGGGTCACTTCAGCTTTCCAACTGAGTTGGTCTAAACCTGGGCACGGTTGTTGTTGGGAAACATTTTACATGTTTATTGTGGTGTAGTGGAAAATCCAACCACTTAACTGCTAAGATTTAATTTTTTGCTCCCCTTCTAACGTCAACCAAGTGGGCTGCCAATGGGTTTGACAGTTGACCCGTCCCCCTCCGACACGAGGAGCGGGACCTCAAGGCACCGCTGCGGCAACTGGTGCTGGCGGGAGAGGAGGACACCCCGTTGCCTGTGGTCTTTGGTGCGATCTCAGCCGGCTTTTCCAGCAACACCTACAAAAGGTTAGACCTTTTCTGCTGCAAGAGGAAAGAGCAATCCGGAAATGATGTGCTTGTTTGAGCCTTTTTGGGGTGGGTCCGTTCTTGGGGATAGATCCTCTTTTTGACATACCCATTGGATTGCTCAGAGCCCTTCGTAAGATGCTGAACCCGACTTTGGTATTAGACACGGTCTGCTTTGGTCTTCCATAGCCAAGAAACTTCCAGCAAAATGCCACAAGCTTCAACGTGTTTGGGAGGCATTTTGCACGGACCCTCGAAAATGGACTTGAGGCAACAAGGAAGCCTGTAAACCCCAAAGGGTGCACTACAACAGTTCTGCGGGTTGAGCATCCTGACTGAGTTTGCCCTCCCCCCCCAAAAAGAAAGCACATCCCAGGCGTACTATGATGCCAAGTCGAGCGGGTTGCCCAAAGTGCATTCTTTCTCTCCTGAGCATGTCCAGCTTTGCACACATCTTTCCGAACTCTCCTTTTTTGACGAGTCCCGATGTTGGGGCTACAATGAGCAACAGCCAACAATCAACAATTTGCAGCAATAGTGTGGGTTACCAAGTTGTCACTACGAAATGGAGAGCACTTGTCGAAGTCCAATGTCAGCGGGGAGCACAATGCGTATCGGGAAAACAAGCGGCTGTACGTTCCTGTCGACCCCTGTCAATAGTGGTCTTGGGGTACGTAGTGAAATCCATTTCAGATCTACCCCTTGCAGATTGACATGGGCTCCATAGACGGAACTCCAAACGGCACATGTTTTCCATTGGGGTTTCGTCATCTTACCCAAAGGGAGTTGTGCCATCGTTCAGCCATACTGTGAATGGACAACATCCTGCACCACCCAAGACACCATGGGAAGGCCATTGTTTGTTGGTATTCACAGGGGAATCATCCTTGCAGGGTCTCTGAGGTGGTGCGAAATGGATTTAGTCCATCCACAGCACCAAGATGCCATAGGACGGGGAGGTGGACTTCAAGCCTCTCAGCACTCGCATCGAGGCCAACGTGCAGAAGATGGTGGAGGCGGCCAGTGCCCGCCAGGCGCCGGAAGAGGGGGGAAAGGCTTGGGTCTATTTACTGTATCTATACTTGTTTTTATGTGTTTGTTCTTTTTTATTATTATTCATTTACTTGTTTGTTTATTCATTTTTTTTTCAATCTATTTATTCATGTATTAATTTACTTATTTGTTTATGTATTTGTTTATTTATTTACTTATTTGTTTATGTATTGTTTGTTTATTTATTCATGTATTTATTTGTGCATTTAATTTAGTGGTTGTTTATCAAGTATCAGAATAGGTTGCCACCCAAAATGTGTCTATAGAAATATAGGACACTGCACCCCGATGGAGGTATCCTCTTGGTTTTCCTTTGAACACCATCCACAAAGGGTCCTTGATTTTCGGAAGCATCCATCCCGTCCCTCCCCTCGCATCAACGTGCAATGGGCTTCAGGACATCAAAAACATTAGGTTCACGTAGAACTTGGATAACTTACCAAGCAGTGTTTGATGTGCGCCGGAAAAGGTGGGTACGCCTACTCTCTCTATCTCTCTCTCTCTCTGTCTCTCTCTCTCTTTGTCTCTCTCTCTCTCTCTCTCTCTCTCTCTCCCTCTTTCTCTTTCTCTTTCTCTCTCTCTCTCTCTATCTCACTCTCTCTCGCTCTCTATCTCACTCTCTCTCTCTCTGACAATTGGCCGGTACCTGCGAGAATCTGGCTCTTCTGCAATGCATTGAGGGGGCTTGGGAAGCATCAACTCTCCAAAAGTGCGAAGCCAAGTAATCAAAACTCTTACACATTTTGCGTGACTTGTGCTGATCCCACTTTTTACTTTTGGAACATCGCAACAACTCAGGTAAGTCTTCATGCTTTAGTTTGGTAGGTTGCTGAGTGCTCTTCAAGTTGCCCTGCTTGCATTGGCTGTAAACTAAACCTTTCATACTGAGTGCTTCGTTGCCAACTCACGACATGTTTACCTTTTTGAGAGGCCAATAGCCGCCCTTATGTACTCACCAGGCTTGGAGGCCTTTTCCTTCGTAGTATCCTTGACATCGGTCATTTTCGCAGGGGGTCGGGCACCGAGCCTGCAGGGCGACAGCGCCATTGCAGCCGGGGACCAGCTCATCGAAGATCTCAGCCAGTTGTTTGCCACGGTCAACAAGGAGGCCGAGGCAAAGGTCTTTCTGCTGCCGAAGGACTGGGGCATGGCGTTTGGTTTCATTGGTTTGCAGAGGGCAGGGATCCTTGTTGCCAGGTCTAAAGTATACTGTATACCTTTGCCTCAGCCCCTCCGGCCACCAGTTTCAGGACCCGGAGTATGACAAGCGCCTTGACGCCTATCGCAGCAAGATGGCGGAAGGGAAGCAGAAGAACCTCATGAGAAAGGATGTCGATGGATAATGCGCAGATGCCCTGGTGGTGTTGCCCGGCTTTGCGCTGCTAGCTTTAGGTATGGACCAGCAGTCAAAATCCGAGCGCAGCATCGTTTGTCGTTTGTGACCAGCGGTCACTGGGGGCGCGTCGCTTTGTCCCCAAAGCTTCTGTCTTCGATTCCAGCTGGTGCAAGTCCCATCGCAGGTCACTCAGGTCAGTGAAACAACTGCAGCGCGGCAGCTCAGTTTGCGAGACAGATGAGAGGTTTAGACAGTTTAGACCCCCAACCGTTTGAGCGTGGGCTTTTGCATCGGGCAAGATTGGAGCGGGGTTGCGAGATGGAAAGGCACCGCTAGCGATGAAAGAAATCATTGGAAGAGTTCGATGGTGACTCATGTCCCAAAATAGCAAGCATTCGTGAATGCTATGCGGCTAAGCAATTGCAGTTTCGAGCTATGTATGTGTGTTGTGTTTCTTTCTTCTTTTTCTGGTGCGGGGGGGGGGGGGTTAGAATGGTAGTGCGATGCTGCCTCTGCGAGAGGAGGCTGTCCTTGTGGACGATGTGTTACACGTGGTTGCTCTTTCCTGTCCCACACTTTGCCACTTTGCGCAACATGACCTCCACTGGATCATCACACCGCCACTGGCGGCTTTTCGAAAGCATGACGATTGTGGTGGGAATCAGCCTTGCTTGATATGCTTTCGCCTTGCCCAGGCCCCAACAGAGAGGCTGGCGTTGGGGACACGGATTGCTTGCTTTCAAGACACATGTCATCCTCTTTGATTCGGTGGAGGTATGGCCAGCATCATTTTGCTCCGCAATCACTGGGTAGGGGACTAGATAGTCAATGGATTCAATGGATTGTAGTGCTCGACAAATGCTGCTCGTGTTGACCAGTGATCAACAAGACGCACTGAACCAGCCCATTGAGAAGAAAGCGCAAAACATGAGGGTGCTATCCTGGACCTAGGAAACGTCCAGCACTGAGCTGTAAGCGGGCGCGCGCTTCAAGGCTTGCCCTGGAATCCCTTTGACGGCAAGTTGCGAAATGCGAAAGCAACAGACAGAACTGTGCCCCTGACCCCAGCCATTGATTGGGCTACGATTGTCGCTGAGCACAACTGCGAGAATCCCGTTTATGGTTTTAAGTTTCCTAAGGGCTATAGCGGGGATTCTTGCATGATGCAGTTCCAAGAGAAGGTATCATGTGACTTGCCGAAAACGACTGGGAGGGAAGGCGTGGCAGCATTCCCCGTGCTGGATCCATGTCTGACCACTAAGCCAACACTGGCGGACACAGGATTCAGATAGGCCACAGCTTTGCTCTGTATGACAGGCTTACGGCTCAAACACATGACACCACGATCCACATGTGCTGGACTGGTGATGGACGTACGTATACATCCAAGGCCAGCCTTTGCAAATGAGAATGTGCTCAAACAAGAACTGAAATTGACCTGAGACATCACACTGGTCAGCATCTCCCTAGATTTTGCCTTTGGCGAGCGGCCAATCCGCAATGAAGGACACACGGGTCGTACATGGGTCGTTCGCGTCGGGTGCCACCAGGAAAATGAATGGGTGCGAAGTGTCGTGCGAGGTATCGTCAGGCAAACTCGGTATCAAGAAACGCCAGGGTTATTTTCGTGGAGCGTCATATACGGGGCAAAATGATTGCTAGCAGTTTAATTCTATTTGGAGCTGGAAGCATGGTGGTTGGCCGAGGAGTTTCTGGTGGTCTATTGGCCTTGGCTATTTACGCTGGCCACCATCGCCTGGTGCCCAGAGGTCCAGAGGTCCAGAGGTCCAGAGGTCCAGAGGTCCAGAGGTCCGTCAGGACTGGTCCGCAAAAAGGCAAGCGACGGCGAGCTTGCCACATGTCTGTGGGTCAAGACTAGGTGCACCACCCATTTTAGTCTATTTTAGTGGGGATTGGGATGTTCACTGGGGGTACGGGGTTTTGACCCATGGCCACATGTCAGTTTCCTGCCAAAAAGACGAAGCCATGTAGCAACCTTTTGACGGACCTTTGTGTGCATGGAAATCAATGTAGAATCTGCATTGATGTGGGATTGTTTGTTTGTTTGTTTGTTTGTTTGTTTGTTTGTTTGTTTGTTTGTTTGTTTGTTTAGATTGATGTGTCCGAACTCTGGCTGCTAGCAAGGGCAGGGCCAAAGATTAAGAGATGTAGATTATGGGATCCAAAGCGACCCAGTGGTGACTACTAGTGTTATTTCTAGCGACAAACTGACTAGTAGTGCCTACGAGGCCAGCTAAGAGGCAATACATCGTTTCCTTTGTCCACGGAGACGTTTTCGCAGCGAGGCTTTGGGGGCTGTCGTGGACGCGGCGGAGTGTGTTTGGCCGGGGCCCCCAGGATCCTTTTGGATCTGGCAGGTTCAAGCAGATGTGCGGAAACGTGCAGTGGGTAGGGATGCCAGGATGGCAGCTTCAGTCCTTCATGTTGGTAGCTCGAGCATACTTCGTAAATACAGTTTGCGCCAGAAATCCTGGAAGGTCATTTTCCATGCTCGTTTGCGCTGGATGAATCGCTTGCTCAGATCCCTTGACCCATCCGCAGGCCTCCGAAGCTGGATCTCTCTGGGAAGCAGCTGGCCGGCACCCGAGAGTCAGCTTGACTCCCCTAGTGGCCCGGTTGATGTTTGCTTTAACTTCACCATCCCAAGGGGGTTGACGGAATGCGTCTGGACGTCAGCAGTGCCGTCTTGGGCAATTTGCACCTGATGAAACATTTGCAGAACCAACCGAGGGCTGGGCTTTTGAAGCGCACCGTGGAACCTAAAGCAGACGAGCCAGTGGAGTTCAACTCTTGCACCATTTTGTCATCCTGGTGCGTTTTTTTGTTTTGCAGACCACTTAGCAAAACCGTTTTTGGTTTTGCTTTAACTTTACATGCTTCTTGAAGACTTGGCAGCCTTACCTGCATGGCCAGACTTACGTTGGAAGACGTGTGTTGAGCGGGATGTGCATGTGTTTGCCGCTGCACCAAACGGGGCCAGACATTCTTGAAAGTTTGGACATGATCCTTAATTGGTTGACGGGTATGTCGCCCACTGGTTGAGCTGCCCACATTGTGCTTGTCCAGGCAAACCTCAGACATCACACTGCATCTACCTTTCTTTGAAAGAGGGGCCATGCAAGGTTTGGGGGCACACATTGCACAAAAAAAAGATGTCCGTCTATGATGAATGCCCTGCCCCTCGGCAATGGAGGCCCCAACGAGAAGCCCCTCGAGCCTAATCAATCGATCTACTATTGCTAAACATTTATATACCGAGAGCAAGGTGCATTTGTCAAACAAGAAGCATTATATTTTGTTGTCAAGAAATGAAGCTTTTGAAAAGACAAGTTCTTTATGGTTTCTTGGACAGTGAGCCGGCTGGTTCACTGCCTCTCTTTGTCTCATTGTGCAGGATAGCCACATTGATCAACTACGCCACATATCTTGCAATGCCAAAGAGGGCTTAAATTTTAAGCAAGTTCAAGATGAAACTGTGGATCCTCAGTTGGTGCTGAACGGTTACGAGTTACAAGGGGTTAGACAATTGAGCAGTTGCGCGCAAATCTGTTTTGTTCACAAATGAAAGCCACTTGGGCCCACGAGGCGTCCCCCCAATTTGTTTCCCAGCGGCTCCTCTTTTCTTGCTACAAGAATACGTGTTGCTCTTCAGCTGGCTGAAAGCCTTAGGGATTTTCGCTTCTCCTTCAATAGCGGGTGGTAGTGCAAAGCAATCACTCTGCACAGAACTCTGGGGGTACCTTCCCCATTCTTTCCAGGGATCCTTCTTTCCAGAAAACCTCCAGAAACCCAGGGAAGACGGCAGGTTTTCAAAAGAACGATAATTGAAAAGAATGGGGAATCAACCCTTGAGCAAGGCAGCGAGCACTAACTGTCTCTACAGCATCCTCAACCCTTCAGCCCAGCCCGCACTACGCTAGTAGACCCAGACCAAGCCAGCATGTATCCGACTACTACTGTGGATGGACAAACTGCTGCACCACCCAAGACACCATGGGAAACCATTTTTTGTTGGTATTTGCAGGGGATCATAGCATTCTAGGGTTTCTTAGGTGGTGCGAAATGAATTTCGTCCATCCACACTATGAACCCTACGCCGGTGAAGTTGTGCCGGGGCCGTTCCGCCTCTGAGAGCTCTATAAAGGCCCGGGCAGGCCGCTATGAAGTGTTCGGCGAGAGCGCATCAACTAGGTCCCCCAGTAGTGCCCTTTTACCCTTTTTTGGGGGAGGGTTCCCCTACTAAAACAGACTACAGAAAAAATGGGTACCCTTATTCTAACCTCTCTTCTGGAGGACCTAGTCAAGCTAAATGTGAGGTTTTCCGAAAGAAAGAAACGCGTGATTAAGCGGATACATGCGTCGCTCATTGAATAAGGATTCACACGGCAGAAGCTGAGCCCCTTGCCACGATTTATGTTTCACGTTTTCATGGAATTGACTGCCAGCTGGCAAATCTGGCAAATGGCAGACGGAGTAAATATTGGCAACAATAGTGGGCTCCATTCTGGTCAGCGTTTGAGGGGCAACCAAAAGGAACGGTTACCATCTTAGTGCTGTCTTAGCTCTGGAATCTCCATGAACTTGTGTGCTTCCCTTTCAACCAAGTCAAAAACGTACCCGAAAAAGACACATTCATGGTCTTTCTCATAATGAGGGTCCATTTGCTCAAGTGCTTTGTGTTTGTATTGCCCCCCCTTTTGAATAGCCATAAGGGGGGTCCACCATTTTTAGGAGCTTCCAAAGGTGTGCGTGTGTCAAAATAGGGGGGAATCAACAAATGGGTGTTTTCCCTTGGTTTTCCTTGCCAACCTGGAAAAAGGTACCCGACACGAAGAACTCGTAATATTGTATGTATTGTATATATATATATATGAGGTTTCTTTTGCATATGGCCATGGGTCATAACCTATGCCTCCATTTTTGGGCGGATGAACTCCCATGTACCACCTATGTTTCTGTTCACCAGGGGTACAGGGTTTTGATCCACAGCCATATAAGCTATACAATGTATATATGCATATACATGGTTGTTGTTGGGACATATTTTGTTTTTTTGCTTATTTTGGTTTAGTGGTTGAAATCCCCACTTAACTGCTAAAATTGAAAAAATCGTTGCTCCCCTTCCAACGTCAGCCAAGTATAAGTACCCAGTTCATTGAGTTCAATCCCAAGGCCAAGCTCTTCTCGACCCCGGTGTTCCTATGCACGGCGGTGCCCGCGGTGCTGGTGACGTCGGGGCTCCCGGTCGTTCGGGTCCCTCGAGCGCGGGTTTCGCATGGCCCGAGTTTGGCACGCGCTCAAGGCGAAGTCTGGATGAGGTTTCCGATTTCCTGTTCAGTTTCATCCGGAGCCCAGCCAAATTGGAACAGTTCACAGTTTGGGTTGTGTTTAAAGTCAATCTTTGATTAGTGGCTTTCCTTATTCGTATTGGTGTTGGTGGAGTAGGATTAGGGATTCCACTTTGAACAGGTCTTGATCAACCCTATCAATCTGATGGCCTTTCCAGTCCGCCAGAGACTAGGAGTCCATGCCAGTTCGATGAATATACAGCATGGGTGTTGTATGTCATTCTGTTTGCGTTTATGTTGATTCACTGCTTTTGTGTTGGCTTATTGGTCTTGCCCAGACGCACACGATCGTGCAGTGTGTGTGTGTGTGTGTCAATTTCGGATAGCAGAAGTTGCCAAAGACCAACAAACACACTGCCATGTTTGATGGTGCTACTGATGTGCCACGTCTCACTGCTTGGACCATGAGTACAATCTGTGGGTTGCTCCAATTTGAACGGTTCGAGCCATTCAGTGAGGATGCTGGTTGGCGTGATAGACCGGATGGCAATCAAGCACCGCGGGGCTTAGGCCTGTTTTGGCGCAGCTGGCACGGGGCCGTTTGAGCCGCTCGGACCGGGCATCGCTGGCAGGGGCGCCCAGATTGCGAGGAGTCCCAGGTTGAAGCGACCTCTAATATCCCTTTGGAGGGCCATTTTTTTTAGGATTTTTTTTCGTTTTTTTTTAGGAATTATTTTTGTTTTTCAGGGTCGGTGGCTTTTTGGCTGTTGTGGCTTTTACATGGGTTTTTGTGGCTTTCGTGGCTTTTCATTTCGCATCATCTGCATTCACAGTTCCTCTCTTTTCGCATCCTCTGCATTGCCAGTTCCGCTGCGGCAGGTGGCTTTTTGGCTTTTTGGCTTTTTGGCTTTTTGGCTTTTGGCGGCTTTCTGGCTTTGGCTTTTCCTGATGCTTTTCCAGTTGGCTTCCTGCATCCTCAGCATCGCCAGTTCCTCTCTGGGCCCCCCGCCACCCCCCTTTCGATTAAAATGCACGCCTATTTGAATCATCACTTTTTCGATCATCATGCGACAGCTACTTTTTAGATTCTTTGCCCCTATTTTTTCGATCATCATGGGGGGGGGTGCCGTTTTACAGGGATTAGTTTGCCCGTATTTGAATCCTCACTTGTACCATGAGGCCTTGCCGCAGAGGAACTGATGACCCCCCTGCTGTTTTTTTTTTTATAAATATTTGTTTGGCCCTAATTGAATCATCACTTTTTCAATCATCATGGGGGGGGGCTGCCGCCCCCCCCAACCCCCCCGCAATTTTTTAGACTTTTTGCCCCTGATTGAATCATCACTTTTTTGATCATCATGGGGGGGGGCTGCCGCCCCCCCCAACCCCCCTGCTATCTGTTGGACTTTTTGCCCCTAATTGAATCATCACTTTTTTCGATCATCATGCGACCGCTACTTTTTAGATTCTTTGCCCCTAATTTTTCGATCATCATGGGGGGGGCTGCCGCCCCCCCCCCAACCCCCCCGCTATTTTTTAGACTTTTTGTCCCTGATTGAATCATCACTTTTTCGATCATCATGGGGGGGCTGCCGCCCCCCCCCCAACCCCCTCCCCACGCCTTTAATTGAATCATCACTTTTTCAATCATCATGGAGGGAATTGCCGCCCCCCCCCGCTACGTTTTAGGTGTTTTACAGGGATTAGTTTGCCCGTGTTTGAATCCTCACTTGTACCATGAGGCCTTGCCGCAGAGGAACTGATGACCCCCGGCTGTTTTTTTTTTTTTTGTTGGCCCTTTTTGAATCATCACTTCTTCAATCATCATGGGGGGGCTGCCGCCCCCCCCAACCCCCCCGCTATTTGTTGGACTTTTTGCCCCTAATTGAATCATCACTTTTTCGATTATCATGCGACCGCTCCTTTTTAGATTCTTTGCCCTTAATTTTTTGATCATCATGGGGGGGGCTGCCGCCCCCCCCAACCCCCCGGCTATTTTTTAGACTTTTTGCCCCTGATTGAATCATCACTTTTTCGATCTACAGGGATTAGTTTGCCCGTATTTGAATCCTCACTTGTACCATGAGGCCTTGCCGTAGTGGAACTGTTCACCCCCCCGCTGCTTTTTTTATATATATTCTTGGCCCCAACTACGTTTTAGGTGTTTTTACAGGGATTAGTTTGCCCGTATTTGAATCCTCACTTGTACCATGAGGCCTTGCCGCAGAGGAACTGACCCCCCCCCCCACTGTTTTTGTTTTTGTTTTTGGCTTTTTTTAATATTTGTTTTGGCCCTTTTTGAATCATCTCTTCTTCAATCATCATGGGGGGGGGCTGCCGTCGTCACTTTTTCAATCATCATGGGGGGGGCTGCCGCCACGTTTTAGGTGTTTTACAGGGATTAGTTTGCCCGTATTTGAATCCGCACTTTTACCATGAGATGCAGGAAGCCAATTTGCTGGTGATGCTGGGGATGTTGGCTGGACATGCGGGGGATGTTGAAAACGATGCTGATGATGTTGACGGACTAGCGTAAAATACACGTACATTTCGCGAGAAAATGCTGTAAATTACAGCATTTTAGTAGCCAGGACGGAAAACAAAAAAAATCCAAAAATAAAACAAAAAAAAATCCAAAATTAAATCTCGACCCATTTTGCTGGGCCCCTTAGCGTGTTGATTGTCCCTTTGAGCCACCAGCTGGGAAGGTCAAAATCCGGATGTCACTTTGACGGACAAAGCTCTGGGAACGGTTTCTGTTAACCTGCTAGCATTCCCTTTCATTCTTTGCTCAGGTCTGGTGGAGTGTGAACCTTTTCTGGTTTCACACTGGCTGCGACATCCTCAGCGGCTACTACCAGGCAATGTCGAGTCACGGCCATTTCTTGGTCTGGTACTATAGGCGGGGGATGGCGGGGGTCATTCCCTTTTGCAAGGTTTGTAGCAAACAATGTAGGAAGGGGTAAACCCCTGCTATCTCCGATTTGGCTTCTCTTTGGATGCAGTTGAAAACCTCCCACAACCCTGTCCCTAGTTAGGACATGTAGCCCTGCCAGGCCTTTGTATGAAACACAGCAAGGCACCATGATGCCTTGAGGACAAATCCTGATTCGCTGATGCGTGCTGCACCGAGAAGGAGAACTTGGGTTTCGTATTTGCAGGTTGGATCTTTCAGGATCTCAGGGATTAGATTTCGCCCGAGTGGAAAGCGCCAAGCGAGTCCTGTGGCTTGCTACACCTGTTTCCTTCCTTCGGCAGAGCGCGGGAGACTTCGAAGGACTCCATGGGTCCGCAACTGGTTTTGGTTCAGCCAATTCCACAGAAACTGCCGGTTCCTTTGAGCGCCTCGCTATCGCAGATCATGCCGGTGTTCACGGAGCTCTACACTCACATGAGCCCGGAGCTTGCGCTTCGGGACACGCCCTTTTGCGCAGAGACAGATTGCCAGGGATCACTCTTGATCCCTGAAGTGAATAGTTTGAGGGCTCTCAAGATTAATTTGGGAAGGTTGTTTCCCGTTGAACCACTATTTGGAGAGTGACTTTGAGGATGTACTTAAATGGCCCCAGCCACGAAGTCCGATCATCTCGAACGAAATCCCGAGAGGTAAGGCACTCTTTGAGTGAAAACACACAGACAGCGGCGACTGAGACACGGCGCACGGATATGCGCGCTGGCATCCGTCAGGAGCCTCAATGCCCGGGCCGAATGTGCACAGAGTTTGGTTCAGATTCAGTCCATTTCGGTCCAGTCAGTCAGTCCCGGTCCAGTTGCCCCTGTTTCCTATGGTTCCACCCAGGGAGCCCGTTTTCTTTTTTCTTCCTGTTGCCACTGGGCAACTTAGACTCGATATGATACGCCCAACCGCCTGGTTTCCTGGGCATATGGGTAAGAACCCACCCTTTGATTCAGAGGTGCTCTAGCCGATGTTTGATTGGGAGTGCTTGCGTTAGGAGAGCCATGCGGGTCGCGCACACACACAATTGTGAGGCAAGGAATCTAAGCAAGGCACAAGAGCATGAAAGGGAATGCCCTGAAAAGAAGCGGCGGAATTGAGGGTTGGTGTGCTTGAGGAACCCGGATTGGACCAGCTGCCACTTTGGCACAAGGGAAACCGGAATGAGGGGTTGCTTGCACAGCATCAATCTATACATCCTACGGCCGAGAGAATTGAATTCAGCTAAGCCAAAGCTTCTGTGGGAGTCCAAGGAAGAGGTCCCTTTCATCGCATGGATAGCTCAGGGAGCGCGCGCCTTTGGACTGCGCGTATGGGCTGGAGCTCTTCTTCGAGGCCGGAGGGTCCTGAGCTGGATGCGCCGGAAAACGAGGGGAAGGGATAGCGCAATGCGGTCACCAGCAGGGGGGTCTTTTTGCCACCTTTTGCAAGACAATTGGCGACCCCCTCAAAAAGGAATCCTTCACTACAAAGGGGTCGATCATTTTTCCACCAAAGGTGGCAAAAAGACCCCCCTGGTCACCAGACTGATGAAGCCTCTGGAGAGTCTGCTTTTTGCGCCATCTAGGCGGATTTCTTGTTGTGTAGACTTTGCTTTGTTGCAATCTTGTCAACCTGTTGTCGACTTTCTTGATACTTGACGGTTGCTGTTCTGAATGGCCCCTGTATGTATTGCACATCAATTCTTTTCAGCAAGGTGCTTCCACCAATGCACACTCTTTGTTTTCTTCTTTTTTCGCTTGACATCTCCTTCCGATTTCCAGAGGTAAGCAGTCAAAGCGCAGAGGCTCTCTGGAGAAATAGTGCTGAGCATCATTGTATAATGAGTTCTTGACGAGACGTGTGACACCTCTCCTCTTGCCATGACGCAATTTTAGAGGCCGGGAGAACGACGCAAGCCAGCTTTTGAGGCGCCCTTCGCAGCGTGGCTTGTGTACCTCTTCTGGAAGCAGGACCACCGCGGCCTTTGACGACGGCTAGGGTTCTCTTGTTGTCTTTCACCAGAGAATGCTTGCACCAGTAGAGGTTGTTGAGCGAGTCAACACTTGGAACCTTCGTGGGGGCCGCTTTGCAAGGGATCCGGCACGAGAAGCCCATCGTTTGGAAGGGGTGCCTGGCTTGAAGACAGCAAGGGCCAAACTATCGCACTCCGTTTCCGCGGTACAAACCCACACCAGGAGCCTGTGATTGACAGGCGCATGCGTTAATATGATGCTGCTGAAAAAAAACACGCGGAAATGCAAAATAAAGCAAGAGTCGGACTCAGTTGTAATTGACATGCTGGGCTAATGTCTGAGCTTTTGCGCTTCTATCGGCTTGAGCCCTGACAGATTGATTGACGCAGCTCCGTGTGTATTCTCTGGTTGTGAGAACTTAGAGTTGTGGTGCTTTGACAGATTTAGAGCTGACAGACTTGGCGCAGCCACCCACAGACTACCTGCCAAGCACACATCCGCACGCGTTGCCGGCACACTGTGCAAACCCACAACTGGTTGTGTTTTCTCCTTTACATATTTGCTCTGCAAATCCTGCGTTGATGATCCTCGCGCAACCTTGCTTGGCAGGCACCAGTGCTGGCGGAGACGACCGGCAAAGGGCACATTGTTTGCCATATGTCGCAAACAGTTGGACATGCTCTATTCAACCTGTGAAAACGGACTCCTACAAACTGTTTGGCATCCTTTGCGTTCAATGCAGTGGTGGAATTTTCACCCTGTCATGCCGGCTCACAGAGCATGGTTTTTGCTAATCAACATTTTGGGGGAGTTGTGTATTGTTCATTTTGGCTGAATGAAGCCCTCGAATGACTTTGCGTCGCTTTTTGGATGCTGTTGGGTGACCATGCGCGCCTTGAACAAGAGGTGTATCAAGCGGTGCACACTTGGTTCAGGATGTTCAGGTTGGCCCGCATAGCCCCGCAACGCCAAAAATAAACACCCTCCAAACTTGTGCTTCTCCGTCTGGTTTCCCTTTAAACCAAGCTGAAAAGAGGTAGCCTCAAAAAACCACAGCCCCACAGCGTCAGGACAAGGCCCGGTACCTGGTGGAGCTCTGGGCTTTGGGAGTGCAGTTCGCAGGCACGGTGCCGCGGCCTTAGGCTTGCAGCTCCTGAAGTTGCCGTAAAGGAACCCGGTTGATACTCATGGACAAAATCCATTTCGCACCCAAGACACCATGGTTGAAACCATGTCGTTTGCTGGTATCATATCATTCGAGGGTTTCTTTGGTGCGAAATGGATTTCGTCCATCAGTATGTCAGAAGGGTTTCTCACTTTGTCTGACCCAAAGACCCAAACAAAGTGGCCAGTTACCAAATGAGGATCTCAAATCCTTGGATCGTGGATGGTTGGTGTCCCACGGAGGCCACGCCAACGGGCTGATGGCAACTGATTTTCTGGATTTGGGTGCGTGATCGCAAGAGCAAAAAGGCAGGCACGCATGTTGATGGACTCGCAATGTCCTATTGAATATGTTTGGGGAAATGTGGATGGGCAACTTGGACAGTAGTTGCCTTCAGAGTGGCAAAAAGGTCACGCAAGGTCGCACTCCGAGTCTCCCTGTTCCAACCGTTTATAAGCCTTGGGCCTACCACCAACAAGCGGGACAACCTTCCTCAGGTGAGGAACCCAGTGAGAATTCTTCCAGTTAAGAATATGCCAAGAACCTTGGCGGGTGTCAGGCCTTGGTTTCCTTACCTGTACCCCAGAGAGGAGGCTTGAGGCACCATCCAGCTTTCTTTGTCACAGGGCTGACCGGGGTGGCTCCCTTCATGCGCTGCCGAGGGTCTACTACCTGCCCGCGCTCATGCGCGGAGAATTCTCTTGCTGGCGGGAGCCCATGTGGAAAAACCCACTCGAAAGTTGCCGGACATGGCTGGGGCAGTGAACGTTCATGAACTAGGTTTTCCAGTAGTGTCCTCTTACCCTTTTTTGGGGGAGGGTTCCCCTAGTAAAATAGACTACAAAAAACAGGGTACCTTTATTCTAACCTCTCTACTGGAGGACCTAGTGAATGTTTGCAACTTTGGGCAGTGTTTGGTCATGAAGCACGAAGCTTTGGGCAGAGGCGCAGATCACATAACATGGCCCTGGAGACCCTCAGCCTCACCCTTCCTATCATCATCAGAATCATCATCATCATCGTCGTTGTATTCTGCGCTCGCTTTGTATGGCTGGACCAGAGAGTTTGCCGAGTTCTCGCACAGTGGCTCCCAGTTCCGCTGGTGAAGCCTGTCTAGAATTCGCGTGAAATTCAACGACTGCTTGCAGTATTGTGATGGTATCGCTTCAATGAGGAATATACTAAGCATGTTCACATGCCATTCACAAGAACTGGTGAATGAGCTTTCACAAGAAAGCACGCTCGCTGTTGATCCTGAATTAGTTGTTTCTTGCGCAGTGATATCTAATTATTTTCCTGCTTGCCATTCCGCAACTCAAATTTTGGAGCGTTTGGCCGATGCTCCTCCATTCTGACTGCTGAGTTGTCCAAGATCAGATAGGCCCAAGCAAGAAATGTGTCGAGTTTGGAAGGCCTACTTATCAAAGGCTGCAATGATCCACACAAGGAGTTTTGAGCACGGCAGCAATGCCTCACGAAGTCGCAGGGGCATATTCCTTATCCAACTCTCCCCTCAGCAGCCCCTATTTGAGCCGGGTGTGCGACAGTCGCATATCCCAGGTTGAGCTATGCAGATCGCGCGTGTGGCAGCGTGTGCACCTCAGAAGCGACCCTGCGAAATGTATTTGAGGGTCGTTGTGGCTTCACAGGCAGAAGACACCTTCAGCTCAATTCGCGGCAAACATATGCTTTGTGCAATGCGTCCGCACGACAACAAGCTTGACTAGGACTTACTGTCGGGGATGGACTCGGGGATGGACAGCAGAATGGATTTGTCCTGCCTGAAGCCAACACTGTATGAGGGCATGCTTGTTGAGCTGCACAAGCCAACATAAACGTTTTAGAGGCACTGCGCAGTCTGATGTGTAGCAACCATTGGACCGTTGATGGTCAAACCAACTCCCAAGGCCCTTGGGATACATTTTACATTTTACCAGTGACTCAAAGTGAAGCAAACAATAAAGTAGACATTCTATAACTGGGCCTAAGTCTAATCATGAGGCGATGTTGTTGTGCCCCAATTGTTTGCAACGGCTGGCCAGGTGTGGATCATGTTCCCGGCATATGTCTTCTGGCGCTCGGTGAAGACCGCTAGGCCAGGTTCGGTTCAGAGCAGTTTGGTGAATCGCCAGCGGCCGTGAGCTGCAATGTTGGCGGCACGCTGCTCAGATACCCTGATTTGCTTCATGGACAAGCCCACCCCAAGCAGTTGTCAGACAAGACAAGCCTTTGTAGAGTTGCAAGCCTGATCGAATATTTGGAGAAGCCACGCCCGCCAAGTCGGACAACTTTAATCATTAAACAGAGCTGACACCGCAAGAGGCACAAAGCTATGCGAATTGACGCACGCACACACACACATGCCAAAGCATCAGAGAAAGGTTCGTTCGTGGCCACAGAACAGTGATCAGCCATGTGACGGGCAAGATAGACGTAATAGTCGGAAACATATCAGACAGATGGCAAATGCAAGGACGCCTCCTTCACATGCCGTCGTAGCACCAACCTCATCAAGCAGACGCATGGCAGTCGAAAGAAGAGAAAACATAGTTACTTATATAACACACATTCAGCTCGATGTGATGATGTGGTCGACTTGAGATGTGATTGACTTGATTGCTGGCAAGTACACGCGCATACCCTGTCCAAGTTCGCTCGAAGGAAGTTTGAGAATCGTTCGGATGGTTCAAGGACAAGCTGGTTTTGTTTGGTGCCACGAGCTTTGGCTGACTACAACAGGGTTTCCACCAGACCGACAAGAGGAAACCATCATTTCGGGGGGGGGGGTTAATGTTAAGGTGGATTATAGAAATCCGTGCTTGTCTATGCTACTTGCATACTCTCCAGAGGCAACGTAGGCACTACTTGATATTACTTGTACTTCAAACAATATGGAATCACTCTCCACGATCTCCCTGAGGGTCATTCTATGTGACAGGAAAGCACGGGACATGTTCCCTTCTTTGGGTTTGCGAGGCGAATGTTCTCGGCCAGGTCTGAGTCAACGGGCAAGAAGCAGAAGCACAAGTGAGCTGCGGTCCCACCATTGGGCGGATGGCTGTTTACCTTTTGGCGGCTCAAGCGTTGCACATACCTGCTCTTGCACTTTAGGCTCGTTGTAAGTTGCTTCTATGAGTGTTCAAGGCCATGTTTGTTTTCTTTGGTCCTGAGATACATGTCGCTTCTTGTGGAGATGCCCACTATCCATGGGCATCCATCTTGTTTGCTGCGTTTTAGCGCGGCACCTTCTTGCGAGAAACACTCTTGGCAGGGACAAAGGGGATTTCGCGAAGACAAGTGCAAAGATGCCGAGCAGTCTGTGTCCTGACGCTGCTATGCTGTACCTGCAATAAGAATGGGCCGGAAATGATCGAATTGTTTGAATGACTGCATAAGAGGGTTATGGACAGGGTTCTTTGAGCTCGGTGGGGGCAAGCCATTCGCCTTGGGCGTGCGAACACCTGCCTTGGGGCGGCGTTTGGCCTGCCAAAAGGCAAGGGGCCCGATATGGCCCATATGCGCCCCTGTCAACTTGGTCGCCTTACAAAGCAGCTAAGGTGCACACATTGCCCAGTGCCAGTCCGGCGAGATACACACCGGAGCATCGTTTCACGGGATACTGTTGCCAAGGCGTGCGAGCCAACATCACTCCAATTGCTAGCACCTTGTGGTTTATTAATTTTATGCAGGTATCCCATGGAAGCGTGCACGCTAGGGTACGTCGTCGGCTCACTTGCGCATGAAAAAAAGAGAAGGCGTCAGCGCATAGCGCAGTGTTCAAGCAGACAGATACCATGACTCGCTCCGGTTGTCTGATCCGGGGCTTGATTTGTCCGCCGAAGATCCCACCCATCGCTGAGGATAGTTATTGTGCAATTTGGGCCATTGAGACCGATTGAGGGGACGTGCCGAGACCATGGGCTCTGTTCAGTGGTGACGTTGTTGGTTTTGTCTTTTCAACGATATGGTCCTGAAGATCACAGCTGGCTGATAAGGAACGCCTGGATGTAGCTTGTAGGCTATAGGAACTTGCTTGTCTCGAATGCCAGGCCGGCCCTTGAGGCGCCGTCTGCGCCCGAGCCAAAGGAGCCACAGGCGCGGGATATGGAATTGACGGCGGCGACATCGGGGGACAACAAGGGCGTTTGCCTTTGGCTTTTGCTTTGGTAACTGAGGTCGTCATGGTGGGCTAAACTTTGACCCAGCAATTGGTCGTGTTCCTGTTGGCTTCCCTTTGAGCCAAGGTGAACAGGATGCTCCGAGAAAGAAGAATAACAAACGCTAAATGGAAGTAGGCAATTTTGGTTGCATTCTCCGACTGTATGAGAGGCATGCCACCCAAATCAATTTGTTCGAGCCCTCCTTGCCCCCTGCTTCCACCCATCTACAATCATGTGTACGTGTCCAACCGGGAACCACCAAAATGACGAGTTTGATTTGGCGCCCCAGGGTTGACATACTCGTACTCGTGCGCACGCGCACGTTGGACATTTTCTTCGAGCCGCATCTCCGGCTCGCAGGAGTCCGGTGGAGGTACGGACTGGGGAATCGGGTGATGGCCAGAGAACTTCGCAGCACGAAGTAAGAATCCACAAAGCGAGGTCTATGGAACTGGCCAGTTTAAACTTCCGCAGCCGAGATGTTCTGTGGTGTTGCGTGACCCACTCACTTGATTCGAACGGTGGCAGCGTTTCTGATGTTTGCAGACATTCCTGGTCGTTTACTTGAGGGTCAGGCATTTTCCTGGGTGAAAGCACCTGGCTGCTTGGGGGGAATAGAAAATGGTCATGTACCGACTGTTTTGTTTTGTGTGAGCCATCGTCAGGCTTTTGATTGAACCATGACCATGAACCACGTGCAAAGCATCTCGACCATGGAACATGCCTTGCTAGAAAAAATGGGTGCCTGAACTCAGTGGAAGGCCAAGTGGCCAGAAGCTACAACAGAAAAAGTGAACGGGCTTATTTGCTCTTGGGACATTCGGGAGCCCCTTTCAGCAGACACACATCGTTATCTCACACACGCACACCACCCGAGCCAAAACAGTATAGCTGCGTGTGTGTTGACCAGTTTGTTGGGGCAACCCCCTTGTGCTGCGGGTCTCGCAGAATGGAACTAGCTGGACCAATATCCGGCCCAACTGCAGCACTTGGAGAGACACCATGGCATGCACCGCAGTACACGGGACAGTAAGCGGATACTGTACCATCATCGCGGATAGGTCGAGACAAGAAACAAAGATGCTGAGGGATATCATTGGACCGAACACGTTGGGAAAAAAGACATACAAGACAGCCTAAAGCAGAGAGATGTGTTAAGTCAGCCAGGTAAATAGACATGGAGACATGACAGCATCCGATTCATTTGGCAGCCCACTCCCTCTTCTGTAAGATCGGTGCGACATTTTTGCCTGCAATTAGATGCCTATGATGCATGCCATCGCCTTCAAGCTTGCCCCGAGTGGTCTAAAGATCTGGCATCGTTGTTTGAGTATCTGTTTTGAGGAATAAAGCATCTAATTGTGCAGTAACAAAAGCCCCTGTTGGACCATTGTGTTGTTGATTTTGCAACGGCATGTCTTAGTATTCTGCAATCAATCTACGGCAGAATTGCTTGCTTAAAATATCTAGATCTATAGATGTCGCTAGTCCTGGGTTGAGGAACATGCGTATCCCTTTGTTCCGTTCAGTGGCAGGCGACTCAATTGCCCGCGTGCCAGCGCGTTCCTCAGCGTCCAGCTTGTGATCTAGGTTCATGTGAGCGTACCGTCATTCACTGCTTTTGCAAGATGAAGCATGGGAATTGTCAGCAGCTTGTGAAGCTTTGTTTCAAGCAGAGTTACAATGATCGTTTGGCAGCGGGTTTCCATGTGCCTCGCTGAGCATCATCAAGCCTCTTCCTTGCCTTGCCGGGATGTTTCTGCGAATGGTGTAACTCACGTCACGCCCATTGATTCGAACACAACCAAGATTGCACTCAGAGAGTAATTGTTACCTTCATGAAGGTTCTGCCTGTTGTTTTTGGCTTGTGGAAGGTTTGGTTGCGTGCGTTGCAAACGCAGAGGGACACACTTATGTTGATTGTCAGTCAACAGGCAGCAGGCTTTTGATGTCCAATGGTTGCATGTTGCATTTCCCTTTAACAGGAGTCGTATCTTTCGTGAATCACCTCTCAAACATGTGAGACAAGAATTAATGAATAAAGTAAATTGATTCCCGAAACACATAAACCTGCTCAAAGAAATACTAAATGCCAATTGAATACACACAATGACGAAGCATCACGGACGAGTCTTTGCATCGATGCCAATTCCTTTTTGGGCCCTGAGGAGCCATGGGAACTGGAGGACACTTGGTGAGGCAGGCTTAGTTCACCGCGAGCTGCGAGCGCGGAGATCTTCAGACTCGTTGTTTAAAGATGTCTTTGGCCACTGGTGCTTAAACAAGCGCTTGGTTTTTTTTTGTGAATGGGGAGGGCTTGGTTTGAGCAGAAGTTACCCAACCTTGGCAGTTGAGAATCATAGAGTACATGCTGCGCAAGGGGAGCCAGTGCCTCGTGTCTAGTGACTAGGGGCCAATCAGACCATAAAGACCATGACCACGGACCTAAATCGTGGAGAAAACAGTAACCTTTGAAGAAGCATGAACAGAGAGGGTTTAGAGAAACACACTTATCATGGATACGTGCTGCCATCATGATTCACATGGATGTTGGTAACACCTTGCATACACCAACGGCACAGGGACACAAGTGCAGAGACACAGACCCAGCAACCGCACATACATGCATACATATATATATATATAGTATATGTATATACATGGTACCCCGCCTGGACCCCCTCAAGTCCAAAAAAAGCTCAAAAACAGGGGGAAAGGCTGAAACATCGAAGAACAAACTTTGTCTTCTGGAAGAGGAACAACCAAGGTCCTATGGAAGCGAATGAAACCAATATCTTCTGGTGGCAGGGCACCAAACCAGAAAAACCACAAACGCCAGAAATACCAAAAAACCAGGGGCCTCATGAATAAGGGCCACAAGACAGAAAAACCATAAAATCCAGGACACACCAGAAACAGAAAAGAAGAAAAATACCAGGGTCCTCCAGAAGAAGGGTGACCTCCGTCATCTATCTCTTAGACCTTTTTCTTCTTGTTTTGTTCTTCTGTTTTCTTGTTTTTCTGGTTTGGGGCCCTTCTTCATGAGTGAGGCCCCTGTTTTTTGGTTTTTTCTGTTTTGTTGTTTTGTTTTTCTGTTTTTCCATATGTTTTCATGTTTTTTTTTCTGGTTGCCTGGATTGGGGCCCTTCTTCATGAGGCCCGTTTTTTTAATGGGTGTGACCAGTGAACTAGATGTTCAATGTTAAGTTGGAATTCAACACTCCTTTTCATGCTCCTGATGCAGCTCTTTTGAAGGCTCCTCAATGAAGGCTCCTGGTCCAGCTCCTTTTCACACTCGTTATAAGGCTCTTTGTACAAGGCTCCGTATAGAACTCCTCATAAGGCTCCTTTAAAGTTGCTTGTCAGACTCCTTCTGAAGCTCCTTATACAGCTCTTCTATGTCATGGCTATATATAAGGATCGCAGTATAAAGCTGCTTACAAAGCTCCTGTTGAAGCTCACTTGGGTGCTTATAAGACTGTTTGAATGAAGCTTCAAATAAAGCTCCTTACACAACTCATCATAAAGCTCTGTTTAAGGTTCCTTAAAGGCTCCTTGTACAACGTCTTGCACAAATGCTTGTACAGCTCCTTTTAAGGCTCATGATAAAACTCTGTAAAAGGGTCATTGCAAAGCTGCATTTAAGGCTCCTTATACAGCTTATAATGCACATGTTAAAGTTAGTATAAGCTCCTTATACTCCTTGAAAAGCTGCTTGTGGGGCTTCATGTGCAGCTGCTGTTAAGGCTCTATAAAAAGAACTCCTTAGATTCCAATTGAGGTTTAATCAGTGTTCAAAGAAATAAATTCTAGTAGGATTTTATTAGAAGGTTTCGGCAAGGGGAGCGGGTCTGGATTTTCGGCACTGCGGAGCTTCGACACAGTTTTTGGGAGACAGGCGAAAACTGCACGTGATTTCAGGAACTGATTCGGAACTTCGACTAACGGTTCTGCGGAACTGGTTTGATACTTGTTAAGATTGTGCCACAGCTTCGAGGAACCCTTTGAAGATCACTTTTGCGGAACCCTTTCAAGAACCCTTGTTTCTCGACAAAGTCCGAGATATCGCTCTCCAGGCAGCTCACCCCTCCCATTTCTGTCTCATTCTATGTTGAATGAGAATGGAAGGGAGAAGTCCTTGCCATATGTGATGTGAAACTAACATCAACTAGCAGAACGTGCAACAACAATAATAGGGCACGAATTCCACTAAGCTTCTATCTTCAGTTAGACACTAAGTAAAGTGTCCTGTCCATGAAAGAACTTAGTATGGGAATAGTTCGAATATATTTGCTGTATCAGTTAAATAAGACATAAATATCTATATAGAATTGTAATAGAATTGAAGAACAAAACATGTGCGGTTGAATGTCTATTCTAGCTGAGGATTAAAGTAGGAAGTATTTTCCAAATCGGCCTTTAATCAAAGATAATTGCAATGTCAATGGAACTCGAATTTCTATTTTTATTGCTAATTTGAGTAGGAAATCCTTTCCAAACAGGACTTTAATCAAAGTTAATTGCAGTTTGGCAAGCACATGGAAAGGCAATGGACAGTGGTGGAGCAGATTTGAAAAGTTGGAAGATGACAAATGAGCAAATGTGCAAACTATGGTAGCTTTTGAGTGGACTTGCAAAAATGGCAAATGTGCAAGGGAGGAAAAGTGGATCATGGGTGGGGTGTGAGCATATATATATATATATGTTTTTTGTAAGTGAGTGGGTCCTGGGGGGGGGGTCCCGGGAGGGGGAGGGGTAGCATATATATATATATATATATGTATATGTGTGTGTGTGCATGGGAAGATGACTATGGGGAGGCATGCACGGCTGCACAGTGCGCTTTGCTGAGCTCTGGTTTGCAGGCATTGCGGAATGGTTCACTAGATGCAAGTTTTCCGTGCAGGACGCTGGCAGACAATTCAAGAGCACGCAGAAGCTTTCGAGAATCCTCGGGCTTCATGCAAGGGCTGGGCACCGGGCACGAAGGTTTCGAGATGTTTGTTGCCTATCTTGCTAAGCACGGCTTGGAGTGATTGTGGCATCAGTACCGTATACCCAGTGGCTCTCTATGTTTGCCACGTATTGTTTTGACATGTTCCGACCATTCTGTTTTTGAAATGATCGAGTCGTCCTCCAGAGGTTGCAATACCACTCGATGGGCCGTTTGATTTGAATGGCTGGCCTGGCGACCTGGTTTACACCAGCTTTTTGGTCCAGACCTTGCATGGGTCGGTGCAAGTGCTTTGCGGGAGACGCAAGCAATTCGATGGAGCACTGCGTTCCAGGGTCCAAAGCTAAGTTGCAAACAGAAGCTACTGGCAGACAGCATCCCCCTCCGCCCCCAGTGAAAGCGGGCACATGGGGGATTGAAACCACCAGAACAGTCCCACTGCTTCAAGGTGTCTACTGGCTCATTGCCCAATCAGAAGGTGACATTTTGTCCAGTCTTTCAATCAGTGGCCTGCACTCCAAGCTAGACATTTTGCACACTGCTCAAACCGCTCCAGCGCCCAAAAGCTCAGTAGCACGAACCTGCAACCTGAAACTCACCTAGAAGTGGCCCCTTTTGGACTCCAAATTTGAGACGACATGCTTGTTCTCAGAAAAAAACAAAAAACAAAACAGTTTGTTGATGGGTTGGCTAGTCTTCACCTTCACTGACCCTGGTCCGCTGGCCTTGGATCCAAGATGGAGTCTCAGGCCCAGATGGGCAACTCATGCAAGCGCCAAAGGGTGAACTGCGAAACCACTTGCCAAAGCCATGTGCTACCTAGGCAACACATTCAAGCTTTGATGTTGGAGCAACGCCTTCTTGTGCTTTGGATCTATAGCTTTTTGCCACTCCAGCCATACCTTGCGACAGATCCTGCAGTACGACTGACTTGTTTAGGTTGATTGTAGTGTTTGACGGATGAATCGGCTTGAAAGGCCGCCAACTTGTGCCCCGCAAGGCGGGTGTGGCCTGTTCGCCTCGCTGCTTCGCCTCGGAACTTCCATGGTTCAGCCCATGCAGCTTACGGGCTGCCCACATCCTGCCAATTGTACAGCGCAGGGGGACAGTTCGTTTTCGTCCAAAAGAGCAGCGCGAGCGTGGCGTGGCCTCAATGCAACTGGGAATCAGTTTATTCCCATCTGAAAGAAGGAGCAACTATGTTTGTGTGTGTATTGACCAAGCCTTCCCATTGTTCATTCAATGGCGAGGCATCTGAGCATTGCCCCGTATATCCATGGAGCCATGGGATATCGTTTGATTTTGGCGAGGCAAGGTACGACAAGTCGTCCTGGACCGTTCACAGCACCAGCAAGCAACTGCAGGTCTTGCGGCACTGTAGGACCGTTTGCGGCGCCTAGTCCGCTGGCGTTTGAGATGCATCCTGCAAGCATCATGAGGCAGTAGCAGGAACAGTGGACTGGTCCTGCATCATGGCTGACTTTTCGCCACGGAGGACTCTGAGCTTTCTTGTGTGCTGGGGCCCAACGACAAGCACACAATATGGGCGGAGCGAAGGTTTGATCGACACTTGAACGGTTTTGATATGTTTCTTTGATCAAGTTCCAACAACTCCCGAACACGTCACTAGTTTGACGGCAACATCTTGCTTGGGCAGCATGCAAACTATGGCCTTGTTGTAGGTGGGGCGTGTCAATCCTTAGTAGCTCCAGTGCAGATCAAATAAAGAACTTGAAGGCAATCAAATGCGGCTACTCCATTCGTGCTTCACAATGCTTCACGCCTGCGGGAACAGCCTGTGGTCTGAAGTAGCTAGCTGGCACCAGTTCTGTGCTTGGTATAGTTGCGTCATGTGAAACCCGAAGAAACGCAACTCCATCTTCCGTGGAGTTGTTTCGGAGCCAGACATTGCATCATGGTTCTGAAGCGGTGCAAGTAAGTCTTTTGTCAACAGTATTATCTTCGTCCAAACTGTTTCTTGAATTGTCAGGCCAGAAGCCTTTCAGATGTGGTGTTGGTGCTCCATTTGTTGCGCACTTTTCTTGTACAGAAGATTGCACCATGGTTTTTCTTCATACTTGCAATGTTTACGATAATCACACAAGGATTGCGTCGGCCTTCCGCTGCTTGGCTCAAGCCTTGCGACGGAGACCCTCGTTGCGACCAGATCGGCTTCGACGCCTTCTTTAAGAAAGCCTGTGATCATCACAGACCAGCACCTTCCGTTTCCTGTCGGCACTGGCGGGATCCAAAGGATTTCTTCAACCCGGTGTACCAAGTGATGTTCCTTGGAATGGAATCAAAACTGAGGCCACAACTTCTATTCAAGGATTCACGAGCGGCTGCATTTTGATGCTGCGGAATTAGGCAAGTCTTGCCGTTTCGAACGCCTTTGGCTTGTTGTCCTTTAGTTGAACTGCCGGTTCCCAAACCTGGTACCCCGCCCCTCAAGGGCATGAAGCTCTCCTGAGGACTTTGGTAACTAGAAGGGACTCGGCAGCACATGAAAGCTTGCGGCATTCGTCGAGACATCTTCCCCCCGCTGAGCGTATCCACTCCGCCTTGATTTGCTGATTTGTGGTGAGTTGGTTCAAAAAGGCAAGCGGCAAGCCAAGACAAGACTTGTTTGGCAGATCCGCTCTGAAAGTCAGACAGTCTTGGCCGAAGAGGTTCGCTGCCTGCAGCATTGCAGGTCAGATGACATGTGATGCCCCTCTCCCCTGAGGCAGATGACGTCTCACCGGCTTCGGGATGTTTGGGCTGGGAGTCTTGGCGCTTAAGCTGGGCTCAAAGGCAGTTAAGAACTTCCTCCCAACGGGCTCATGAATGAGTAGGGGCTTTTGGAAAGAGCAACGGCGTCGCAAAGAGAGATTTGGTGGTTGTAGTGTCCACCAGGTAAATGAGTTGGTTTGGCCATGGAAAGGACTACCAATTGAATTGGATCTAGACTTGGAAACGCATCGGATACTGGTGCAATATGTTCTTTTATTGCCAAACACCAGTAAGCAATCCGTTTGTTGCCCCCCCCCCCCCACTCTCCCCCCCAAGTTCAGCTAATACCCAAGCACGGGGAAACACTCCAAAAGGCAGGTTTGAGACCACAACGCGCCACAGCCAACCTGATTTGCATGGGCTACGCTTCAAAGACATCTGCATGCTGTCTGGGCAAATGATGAGGATTCCATTTGAGGCTCACCCATGATATACTCATGATCCCGATTTTGCCACATGCCGAGTGACCCCTTGACCAGCTGCCACACTGGTGTTGAGCTTGTTGCAGGTATTCGAAGCGGCCTGCATTCCCTTGAACAGTTTTTGGGCTTTGTTTAGTCCCACTCTTTTTGCGCACTGCTTTAGGGTCCAAAGAGGGCACCATAGTCAACGCGCTGCAGGGTGTCCATTCAAATTCCGTTCTGGCCTCTTCTTCTTTTTTATGGCGAGCTCGCCCGAGTTCACCGTGAAGTCATTGTGTTTTTTAGGGGATCCAACTGTTGGAACACGCAGTGGTCGGTGGCGGCTCCATATGGATGCCGATGTGGGCATGTCAAAATTAAGCCATCAGGGGACCGCAGGTTGTAGTGCTTGGTTCCATTTAGCGGGGTTCCATTTTGGGCACCCATTTTTGACCCACACCCATGTGCCCTCTGAGGAACCTGCAGCGGGAGTTCCTGGCCTTTCAGAACACCCTGCGCCTGGCGGGCAAAGGCGCGTTTGTCGCCATCGACACGGAGTTCTCGGGCGTTCTCCAGGAGGAGAAGTCTGATGGTGCCAGTCAACAGATCTGCATGAGACGCCGAAGAGCTGGTGCAACATGTCGTATAATCATACGTATCTATGTATATATACGTATATAGATACATAATATGTATACCTGAACATTTACCTGATTCACAAGTGTTTGAGCGCCCTTTCTTGAAGCGGGCATACCTTGGCATGCAAAGGGGACAAACAATGGCAATTCCAGTGCGTGTCGTGTGTACAAAACCATCAAAAGCAGGCCCCCCTTCCCATCTTCAGCAGATAGCCCCTGGTTGCAGGTCAGAACATCCATTTGTTTGTTTCCTGGTCATTAGGACGCCTGGAAGAAGTCCAGTGATTTGCACTACCTGGCCATGCGCGAGAGCGTGGACGTGTTCCGACCTCTACAGTTGGGCCTTGCCATCGGCAGCCAACAGGCCGGGTTGGGGGTCCATGGGAGCGGCTTTTCTTCTTGCTTGAAGCCAAGACGGATACTACCATATGCTCACTTGTGCAAAGCCGACCTTTTGAGGTTTTGGTTTTGTCATAGCAGGTTAGCCTTGTATTTCCAGGTCCTTTGGGCAGCTGCGTTTGGAGGGCCTGGCGTTGACAAATAGATCAACACCATGTAGTGTGCCCTTCCAGAGGATGATGTTAGCCGATTTTCTAAAGGCTCCATGATTGGCAAGAGATGGGAAGGACGCGCAAATCAGCATGTGTCTCAGAGGGCTTTCGTCAATGGCCCAGGCAGTGTTCCTCTGCCATTTCCTCCGGTTTCATGGCCCTTCCGTTTCGATTTGCATCAAGGTTTCAGGGCAACGGCTTGATGAGGCCAAGCAAAGTGATGGTTGCTAACTCCTTCCTTATCGCCTGGTCCTCACTTTTGCAGAAACGAAAGCATGGCTCGCAGATCGATACTGCCAGCGTTGAGCCGGGCACGCTTTATGTTTCAAGCTTGGGAAACCTTCCCGTGGCCAGCCAGGAGAGGCAACCACTTGTGGCACGCAGCCTTGAGCAATCGGCAAATCCGCAGTCCCTCCTGTTAGCCTTGAGCTGTTCAGAAGGCGGTTTGGTTACGTGTCGTTGGCTGGGCGTTTTGGTTTCTGGCGGGCGCTTTGCTTCGCATAGCGGGAAGCAAACATGTATTCTGTCAATGTAGACCATTCGGATAGGGGCCTCCCGTTGTGATGTGCGGCCGGCTTGGCAGTCAAACCATGGAAGTGAAGGTGAAGCGCCCCAAGCAACGGTCAATCTTATTTGCTTGCTTTTAGCGAACGGTGCAGTAGCTGGGCATTTGTTGAGGCCAAACCCTGTAAGACTTTTGTCCTTGCACTTTGGTCGCGATCTTCTCGTTCAAGACAAGCAACTCCGTGTCAAATACTGACCTCCGCAATTTATTGGCTTCCCATTGCTTTTGCTCTACTAAATCCACCTCGACTAAATCCTCGCAACGCAAGCTGCTTGGTGACCTGCTTGAAATACTTCTTTAAATTTCGTGATTTGGGAGCACAGACTACGCAGACTCCCAACTTCCACATTTGGCGGAGTTATGACCATGGCCCGCTTGAACATCTTCCAAGATTAGTTCAACCGCGACTGTTGTTCTTTTCGCTTCCCGGTTTTGTCGACCACGTGTATCTTATAGTCATGGTCCCAATGGTGAAGTTTTGGATCCTTTGTGCCTGGTCCCTTGTATTCAATGGAGCCAAATCTGTTGCTGCACATGGCTTTTTCAGTTTGCTTTGTGTCAAACACCTAGAGGTTCCTCTTACCCGTTCACCCGTCACTTTCTGTTTTGCAACTTGCTTTGTGCTTGGTGTGTTCCCTTCTTCTTTGTTGGTTTGCCGCTGGTTTTCTAGTGTTCAACTGGTTTCCCGTTGGTTTTTTTGTTGTTTCAAGTTCCCGTGTTCACTCAAACACGCCGCAGGGCCAGTCCTTAGTGGCCTGGAACTTCAACCTCCGCTTCGACCTCCAGGAGGACCTGTACACAGACAGCGCGGTGCAGTTCCTGTCCGGTGCAGGTGCTGCATGGGGACTGTGCAAACCCAGCGATTCGTAACCCAACAAGCTATGAAAACCGCCTTCACCTGGGAGTTGTGTGTCCAGCGGTTAATGAACTCCTGGTTGGTTTGAAGAAGGGGTTTCCCGTGAGAAACACCCATGACTTTTTATTGGGAAGGTTATTCATCCGGGTTCGACATTCGACTTGAAGTCTTTTGAGCGGGCCTTGGTCAAAAAGACCTGCTTGCCTGGGTCAGTTCACGGCCATGGCCCCAAGGATTGAGGCAGCTACATGCATGGGTGGGGATTATACTTTTGGCCTGCGGCAGGCTCAGTTTATGGCATCTCATCTTGCGCAGTGGTCATTTTTTTGCTTTCTCTGCAGATTTGAGTTGCATCTCAGATGCGCAGCTACTCTATAGCATGCTAACATAGTGGAGGCAACCGAGTTGATCGTTTGATGGAGGTGTTTTGTTTGAGAAATATCAGTTACAAGAGGGTCGCACGGCAAATGCACGGTATGGAGGGTCTTCTGAACCTTGGACAAAGAAAGCAAGCGGCAACCTCATGTGAATGAAAGACCAAAGATTCGAGTGAAAACCAGAGAATCCAACAAATGCAGAGCATTGTCCAAGATCGCTTATTTGTTTGCCTCAGGTTGCCCCCTCGGGGTCCAATAAATAATACTGCAGTAAATAGTACCTTGCATAGTCGTGGCAGACCAGAGTGGCAACGTCTGGACTATATAGCTTATCTGGAAATGTTGCTCGCTGTGGCTGGGTTGCTCACATAAGAAGCTCAGCTTGTCATGGGGACGACATGTGGAAACCAGACCCTGGTTATCGGGCTCGGGCAGGTGTTTGACGTGCTTGTTGCGGCAGGGCGTCGTGTGTTGCTGGAAGAAAAACCAAAATCAAGGGCCTTGGCGAAGGATTGCTTTGCTCTTTGTTGCCGTTGAGCATTCACCAACAAGAGGAGGTCTCATTCATTTTCAGCCCTCATGGTCCCCTGATGCTTCGGGTTTCTCCACTTGTGGGAAGTGTCACGCTTGTGTTCCAGTCAGACAATGATCCAATTCGAATTCTATGCGTGCAACCCGAAACCCGGAGGACCATGGCGAGTCTTCCTCTCATCTGAGTCCTGTTGAGCTGATGGTATTGAAATCCTGGTGTTCGCCATGGACTGTTCAGCCATACCACATGTAGCTCATGGTTTCAAGCTGTGTAGTAATGCCGCATGCCAGTTGAAGGACGTGATGAAGCTTCGGATAGCCGTGGGATGAGCTACTTAATTACTGGAGACATTTGTAGCTGCAAGGGTAAGCATGGAGTTCTTGACTTTGACTTCCTGCCATCCGTGCCATTTCCTTTTCGTGCCCCCTCCCCGCTCGAATGCACTGCCCGAGAGGCCTCGACTTCCAGCGACACGCCACGGAGGGCATCGACTGCGGCCTCTTGCGAGCCCTGCTCGGCGGATCGGAGCTCTTTGCTCAGAGCTCCTGGCTGACCTTCGCAGGACGGCCTCTCGCGAGCCCGCAGGATCTCTTCCCACTTCCCTTGACTGCTATTGGGTTGGATCTTTAGACCTTAACTTTTTGGGAAATCAAGGGGCTTTTCACTAAACCCACAAGAAGTCAAACTTTTTGCAGAGGGGTCAGCAGCAACCAAGTCCCACAGACCCCTTTTGGAAGGAGAGGGGTACGCTGTGGGCCCTAGTGCCTTGAAATATCCTGTTTGCACGTCTGCAAAATCAGCCATTTGATATGGAACACACTAGGGCCCACAGCGTACCCGTCTCTTTGGAAGACCACATTCCTTTGGAACGGGTTCCTAACACACAGGTTTCAGAAAGTCAGACAAGTCCCCCGTTTAAACTTTTAAATGGGGGACTTTTCTGACTTGCTGAGGTTTAAAGGGAAGGAGCTCTTCCTTTCAGATAAACGGACCCCCTCGGGATCGAACATGATTCTTTCGGGGGACACCTACTTTGTCCGAACATGTGGCCAGCCAGCTCTGTTTCCTCGCGCGTTGTGGGAAGCCCGGTTCATATTGCACGTCCGCGATCCGATACTTGAATACTAAACCCCTTTGATCCCCTCCACAAACAAGCCTGGCTTTGAAACACATGCTGAATTCAGAAGCCGTGGCAAGAGCTGGACATGTGCTTTTCAAACTGCGCTATTTGCCAGAACACTATCCGGTACCTATCAATTGCGGGTGCAGCCTCTTGTCTCAAGTCACGGTAGCAATCATGTCTACCGTAAGTGACTCATGCTTGAGTGTTGCGCACGTGCGCAGATGTCGAGGATTATTGCTTCTAACTGGCAATGCGAGGCAGACCGGCAAAGACCTCCTTGAACATCGATTTATTGAAGTCTCATGTTGGACACCTTGGTGCTACTAATGCCATGCACGACACAATCGCGCCACTCTCGTTGCTGCCCCCCCAAGTACCTTCCAGTAGTCGCCAAATGTGCGAAATCCTGGCCTCTTGCATCACGGAACACGTGAAGTTTTGCAAGACCAAGGCAGGCCTCGATCTTTCTTCCTTCCTTCCTTCCTTCCTTCCTTTCTTTCTTTCTTTCTTTCTTTCTTTCTTGCTTTCTTCCCTCCTTTTTGTGACTCGCCCTGGCACCTGAGCCGGGCTCCTTCTCCAGGCTCCTACGACCTGGGCTACCTGCTGCGGCTCCTGTCGCCGTCGCCGCTGCCGGCGGCGCTCGAAAACTTCGAGGCGCTGCTGGACGCCCGGTGCGCGGCGCGCGTGGAGCTCCGCGACGCGCTGCCCTTCGGCTCCCTCGCCTCCCTGGCAGAGGACGTGCGGGGGGGCGGTGTGGGGGCCTTTGCAGGTGAGTTTGGAAAGGAAATAGATTGGTCCCGCGTTTTTGTTTTGTTTTTAGACTGGTCTTATGTCATTTCGCAGGGCCATCTTTATTGTTTTTTTCCAAAAGGACACCTATGCTGGAAGGGCTGCTGGTTTTGCCGTTTTTGGCGGAGCCGGTGGTTTTTGGGGGAGCGTGTTGGAGCGTTGGAAGTTTTGTGTTCAAATTTTGGGAGGACCTCGGGGGCGGTTTCTGGGGGGGGGGGGGTTGGGGCGGACCAACCGGTGGTTGAGGGAGCTTTGAACTGATCGCTCCTTTTGGAATTGACATGAAGTCAAGAAAGATCCTGAAATATTTGGGAGCGTTTGAAGTCTGTGTTCAAATTTTGGGCTTGAGTTGAAGTCAAGAAGGATCCTGAAATATGTGGAAGTACTCTTACATTCTCATTCAGCCCAGTTAAGAGGTGATGGCGAAGAGCACATATGTTTTGAAACCTTTGCGAGAGCGCTCGACTCTGTGTCCATTCTTCTCTAGCCCAAACTTTAGGATTCACCGCACAAATGAGCCTTGCAGGGACCACATGTTCTTCCAATTTGGGAAGCCATGAGCTGCTCAGAAGCAGAGACGCAGAATGTTAACGTCGGATTGGAAAACCCTCCTCCCTCTCTCCCCCCCCCAAAGGTCAAGAAACAGGTTCCGCGGGAGAAGGTGCTGTGTGGCACACTGCGGGACTGAGAACGCCGGAGTTTTTTTAATTCTGTCTTAGTTGGGCTGGCATTGGATTGCAGTTCATATGCGGGGAAATAGGTTCTGAACGCGTCGTAATGCGTGGTCCTGGAGGCCCTCAGAGGAAAAAGATTGTTTCGATCCCGATCCCGAAGGCGCGCATATGCTAAGCCAGCTCCCCCAAGGAGTACCGGAAAGTGGTCCAAAAAGGGCCTGGCTACTAGTCCTTTTGAGTGCCATTAGTCCCCGTCGGGCTTGGGGGTCAAGGATAATTATGATCCATATGACCAATACAATATATCTACAATATATATATATATCCATATATATATATATCTATTGCGTCAGATAGCTTTTTGCAATTGAATTGACAGTCCCAACCACAGGACCACTGTATGGAACACAAGAGCAGATCATTTGGTTGCCCCTATTTCTCCCTCAACCCAAGAGCCCTGAAGGATGGTGCTTGCGCACTTTCTTCTTGTCTTTGGCCAAACAAAGTGAGGCGTTTCAATCCAGTACTCATTTAACAAATACTCATTTAAGATCCTCCTGTGGGTTTCCCTTTAGTGGGGGCCCGGCCCAGCGCTTCAATGTCTCAGGAGCACGGTGTGCTGCGCAGGGGCTGCGCCCACACCGCAGGAAGCGATGCTTTGCTGACACTCGACCTCTTCTTCCGCATGAAAGCGCCTGCGGGCGAGGTTGACGTCAACGACGCGTCAGAATTCAAGCGGAAAGGCCGAGCCAAGTGAGAGAGAGCCTGGAAGGTATGTGACAAGGTGAGCAACTGGTAGTCGGAAGGCGGTGTGCACGTTTGATGAAATGGCAATTTGTGTTCGAGCTCTTTCAATGGCGATCAACATGTGCGGATTCAGCATGCAAATTTCAAGTCATGTCGACAACATGTGGCGCAACGTGTGTCATTCGCCCGCCCAAGCTCCTAGTCAGGGGGCCCTAAATAGGTTCTAATACAATGGTTTTAATTCACCGGTTCCAGTTTGCATGAAAGGACAATCACGAGTGCAGCATCCTTCATAGTCCTGGAAGACCGGCCAACACACCGCGAAGGCACATCGACAGAGACACAAAGAGATGCGCAGAGAGCGCACAGACACCTCACAGACACACCCGCACACACAGAGACACACAAACACACAGGAAGAGGGAGTGAGAGACCTGCACAGAGACACACGCAGGGAGAGATACACAGACGCACGCGCAAACACACACACACAAACAAACAAAACAACAAACAAACAAACACAGACACAGACACAGACACAGACACAGACACAGACACAGACAAAGACACAGACACAGACACAGACACAGACACAGACACAGACACAGACACAGACACACACACACACACACACACACACACCCACCCACCAACCCACCCACGACCGCGTGCACGCACGCACGCACGCACGCACGGACGGACGCACGGACGCACGGACGCACGGACGCACGGACGCACGGACGCACGGACGCACGGACGCACGGACGCACGCACGCACGCACGCGCGCACGCGCGAACGCGCGCGCGCGCGCGCACGCGCGCGCACGCGCACGCGCACGCCCACGCCCACGCCCACGCCACGCCACGCCACGCCCACGCCCACGCCCCCGCCCACGCCACTCCCACGCCCACGCCCACGCCCACGCCCACGCCCACGCCCACGCCCACACGCCCACGCACACGCACACGCACACGCACACCCACACGCGCACGCGCACGCACACGCGCACGCGCACGCACTCACTCACACTCACACTCACGCTCACACTCACACTCACACTCACACTCACACTCACACTCCCACTCACACTCACACTCACACTCACACTCACACTTACACACACACACACCCACACCCACACGCACACGCACACGCACACGCACACGCACACGCACAAGCACACGCGCACGCGCACGCGCACACAGACACAGACACAGACACAGACACAGACACAGACACAGACACAGACACAGACACAGACACAGACACAGACACAGACACAGACACAGACACAGACACAGACACAGACACAGACACAGACACAGACACAGACACAGACACAGACACAGACACAGACACAGACACAGACACAGACACAGACACAGACACAGACACAGACACAGACACAGACACAGACACAGACACAGACACAGACACAGACACAGACACAGACACACACACAGACACAGACACAGACACAGACACAGACACAGACACAGACACAGACACAGACACAGACACAGACACAGACACAGACACAGACACACACACAGACACACACACACAGACACAGACACAGACACAGACACACACACAGACACACACACAGACACACACACACAGACACACACACAGACACACACACACACAGACACACACAGACACAGACACACACACAGACACAGACACAGACACAGACACACACACACAGACACACACACACACACACACACACACACACACACACACACACACACACACACACACACACACACACACACACACACACACACACACACACACACACACACACACACACACACACACACACACACACACACAGACACACACACACACACACACACACACACACACACACACACACACACACACACACACACACACACACACACACACACACACACACACACACACACACACACACACACACACACACACACACACACACACACACACACACACACACACACACACACACACACACACACACACACACACACACACACACACACACACACGTGTTTCTAATGGAAGAGCGTAGCGGTGCCATTTTACAAGTTAAAAATATGAGTCAAAATGGCCTGCCATTTTGGCTCAAGATTCTTGACTTTGGTCCAAAGAGAAAAACTTTATTGTTTATTATTCCTCCCTGTATCGACCGGATGGAGAGCTGCTGGTCCTCATGTGCCTTTCCCTTTCCAAGGAGGACAATGGCCTGGGGGCCGAGCCGACGCCGCATCCTGGCGGACATCCAGATCGCGATGGACGACCTGGCAGTACCGACACCGTACTTCACCCAACTGGCGGGGGCGGCCACGGCGAGACTACCGCCGCCAGTTTCAGAAAAGGATGTGGGGGACATCCACTGCTCTCTGTGGATGCTCCTTCTGGCGGCTTCGGCCGGCCGGCACTCATCCGACTACACGGCCCTGCAAGCCCTGCACAATGACGAGGACATGCGATTATGGGCGGACCGTGAAGACCCACCAGCCTTGCTTCAACCGGAACTGCTGAAGCGGGTACTGGAACGCCACCTTCGGAGCAAGATTGATATCCCTTCACATCCCCAACTTGGCACCCTTGATGGCTGGGACTTGTGGAAGGAGTCGCTGGACCTGCTGGCTGACACGAGGTTCCCACTTTGCGCCAACACTGCCTGACCTTCACGGCGGTCCCGTGGAAGGAAGTGGACGTGCGCTCACTCCTGAACGCACTGACAGTCGAGGCATCTCCATGCAACATGCGGCAAGTGTGGAACACACTCCGATGGCTCTCCAAGATCTTTGGAGTCCTGAATGTGGATGAGGTCCACCGGTTGAGACAGAAGAAGCAGGCTGGAAGAGAGCCTGGCGGACACTGTGGTCAAGCCGCAACGCAAAGCAGCAGTGCCGAGCAGGGAAGTGATCTGGGCACTAGAGGAAGGGGCGGCTGCCGACGTACCGGGTGCCGTGCCCTTGAGCGGGCAGCCCCGCGGGAGTCGGGCATGGACGCCTGCATCCTGGGGTTTGCCAGGTACCGAGTGGGCTGGGGTGCGCGCTTTGACGGCCTGCAGCACGCATAAAGGCCCCTCAACCATTCAGACTGGGACGACCCACCTGCCCAAGACCTCGAGGCCAAAGAGGAGGAGGCGAATCCCAAGCGCGCCAGGCTTGAGGCGAACTCTCCGGCGAGCTCCTCATCACAGCGGTGGAGAGCGACAACCAGGGCGATGTTTATGCAGCGATGAACTTCTCTTCCAAGAAGCCGTGCACGACAATCATCCTGATGAGTTGGTTCTGCCAACTCCACAAGCATGGGTGCGCTATGGCACCAAACCACATTCTCAGGGAGTTCAACACTTGGGCTGATGAACTCACACACCCGGACTTTGGCGGGTTCAGCGAACACCTGCTTGTGCGGATGGAGGACTTGACCCAGGACTTTGTCCTGCTTCCTTGTCTTCTGAGAGAGGACGCTTTAAATTTCTCCTAGGCTCCACCCAAAATCCCGCGACCGGATTCGGTGGAGGGTGCATTCCCCTAGTCCCCTGTCAGGTGCGCGAGCCCGACGGGGGGGATGGATCTTCATCCCGGCATAAAACAGCCAGGCACACCGGCGCCATTTCGTTCGAGTGGGGAATGCAATCTTGGCACCCACACAATGCTGAGAAAAGGAAACGGATGTGTAGGGGGCATTTTCGCATTTGGTAATCTATGTACATATATGTATATATATATATATATATATTGAGAGAGAGATGTTCTAACAGAGACACGCGCACATACAGAGACAGAGACACAGCGCAGAGACACACACACACACACTCAACACAGAGATACACATCAGCAGAGACACACACACAGACACAGGAGTGGCGTTCTTTATGGCTGAATGTCGACCGCTTGCATCATTGCGACCCACTTCTTCTATTCGAAGCCCACCACCAGAGTTGGGGGCCAAAACATATTGCCACTCCACCCGCAAAAGGCAAGATGCTGAATTAGCGCCATGTCAACCCTGCTGTTACTTGCACGCCTATGCGGCTGAACGATCATGTCCTGATTTGCCCCAACTGCGGTGAATGCGGCAAGGTGATTGCACGACAAATTCGACACCCTCGGCCCCGACGGGGCCTGCAAGGAGCTCGTGGGGCAAGGCGCGGGCGCGCTTGCCTTGAGAGCGTGGGAGCCAGACGCCGACTGAGAAACGCGGTAAAGTGGTTTCCTTTTTGTCCTGTGTTGGGGCCACTTGTGTGTCCCTGCGCCAGCTCTCTTTGGAGCAACTTTGTTTGTAAGCGCAAACTTTGTCTCCTCCCCCAAGGCTGCCTTCAATTAGTTGCTAGCAGAATAGTCGTTTCTCGCGTGGTTGGTTGTACCGCGCAGGGACGGACAGGATACTGTATTGAAAGGATCATTTTGTTTGGAGCAACCAAAGCAGCTGGTCAGGCAGTTGTGTGATGAATGTGCGGCGGTTGGACGTGATGTAGTCCGAGCTGCTGTTGCTCAGAACTGGACAGTTCGCCGGGTACACAGTATTTGCAGATGAGAGCGTATGTGCCATGCCGCACTCGAAGGAAGGTGGAACCAATGTGTTTTTGTTTGCAGTAACTTGGACGGGGGATCTCACCAGGGTTTTTCCTGCCAGAGCTTGGTTCAGGTGCTAAGCTCACTGTGCCTTCTGCAGATGTTGTTTTGTTCCGGAGGTATAAATTAACGGCAACTGCAGGATGTGGGCCAAACCGGGGCCCCCCAAAGAACCAGCTGGCGCGAAGGCATGTAGCCGCGCGAGGCTGATACATAACCCGAAGCAGAGCCCGGCAAGCCACAACAGTGTGCGGGTGCTACGAAGACATGACATGGCATGATACTGGTGAAGTTCTGGACATCGATCATTACGTCGATCCCCGCAGAGGGAAGTTGAACTGTTGCAAGGCGCCCAAGCGTTTGCGCATCGACTGTGCCGATCCCCGCCGTGGGCTGCGATTTCACTGGGCTCGGTGCTGCCGCGCCGCCCAACAAATATATAAGTTCTGGCTCACAGCTGTGCGCCGTTTCATTGTACGCGTATACAAAGACGCTCTACGTGATATCGCATGTGCAATCACAAAGTAAAGTCTTTGTGCAACTCTCTGCAGCATCTCAACGCGATATCTCATGTGTAAGTACCAAGAAGATCTCTGTGAAGCTCTCTGGACGCTCTATGTGTGTTGTGTGACATAATTACTGCTTTGTGGGCTGTCACTCTGTGCACTGAGCAGATCCAGTCGTGCATGCTATTTTGTCTGTGTGGCTCTCTCTGTGTCTCGGTGCAAGCACCCGAGCCCTTCGCAAGGAACTCCGGGCGCTCGCGTCGACGGCCAGGCCGCGCGGCTCGAGATGTACAGCTCAGCCTTCGTCCCCAGCAGCTTGTGGGGCGTGGCAGCGCGGTCCGTGGCAGACGCCAGGCTTTGAAGCCGCGGCTGGGGAGCCCAGAGACCCATGAAGGGCACATGGGACACGTGTCAGTGGCTGGGAGGATGCTCACAGGGAAGAGATGGCTTAAAGTTTCTGTGAAAGACTTGTCTAGTTTGAATTTTCGGTGTAGTTTGTCACGAATGTAGCATATGTGAGCCGCATCGGACATTCAGGTCGAGGTATTGCTGGATGAGGATCATGTGATCCGACTCTTGCTGAACCAGCCAGAGAAGCATTGCATATCATTGCATCATTTGCATGCCTTGTTTGTTGTATGCCAGGTTTGTCAGCAAGGATATTCGTGCCTACCCAAGCGCCGAAGTAAGAGACTGTAAGGTCCTCTTGTTTTCCGAATCTGCGCGTTTGAACGCCGAGCTTTGTCACAATTGCATGTGTGTGTGTGTGTGTCACAATTGCATGTGCGTGTGTGTGTGTGTGTCCAAAGACGAGGTTCTGGTTCAATGAATAGGCCCCTCCTACCGCATTCAATCCATGTTTTGCCTGCGCCGAGGCTGAGCGAAGGCCTGAAATGTAGGCTGACAGCTCAGAAAAAGGAAGCGCCGCAGAGTTTGGCTGAGCCGTCCACAGGTTTGCTTTGGGTCAATAGGGGAATTCAAGCCACGAATGTTACCAGAAGACGTCTTTGGATTCCCAGAAGGCAGGATAGATTGCCATGACAACTAAGACTCAGGATAAACTATGGAGGCAAACACCAGAGTCAGGGATAAACCATTCCGGCAGAAGCTTTCCGGGCTTCCCGGTGATGTATTTCCGCAACAAATCTTCATGCCGGAGCAACAACACAACTTGCCGGTTTGGTTGCCCGCGCGGCGCCTGGGATCAAACTGCGACATGATGCGGGCGATGCGCGCGTGGCGTGTGGTTGTGGGTGTATGCTCAAGTATTTCCATCTGGAAGGAGCATTTTGGAGGCCAAGTTACACCCCAGGCTGTTTTGCTGGATCAACATGGACAGGCGGCTCCCATACTCCACCCAGTGACTGGGCTGGATCCAGCACTCTCTTGGCCACTGACAGGTGCGAAACACGTTTACAAGCGTTGACCTTGGACACATGGAAGGAATACTTATATCAAATCAGCTTGAAGTTTGAATTGTTTCAACCAGATTTCGAAGAACATGAACCAACTTCTTACTGCTCTGCCAAAGGCGTTGCGCAGTGTGACCTGACATCAAGTTTCCGGACATGTTCACAGTTTGTCTCTTGGTGGCTTCTGGTACCCTTCCCCCCAAAAAAAAATAGTAAAAGGAGAATTCTAAGAAATATTAGTTTACTATTTTTTCCATCAGCAACACAACAAACAGAAAACAAAATCCAGAACAACAAGCAAACAAAATAAATAATCACAACCAGCAACAAAAATATTTAATCACAGCATACAACATTAAATAATTCAAACAAGCATACCAACAAAACAGCAAAAATAAAAACCATCAAAGAACCCAAACTCAAACACACACATCAACCAAAAAACAAAGCAACATACCAACAAAAAATATCACAAGAGTATCAAACAAAATAAAAAACAAACAGCCAAAGCACGAACAAATCAAAAGAGCATACCATGTTCAAACAACGCACTTTGAAAGAGACAACCAAATTAGGAAAATTATAATATTTCAATCTTTACAAACCATCAGTTCAGTATAATTATAACATATAAGATTTTACATGTTATTATAGTATGATTATAATTTCAGTACAGGATAATAATTTAATTGATTTGTCTTACTTCTTTCATACATCATTGTAAAAATAATATTAATATCTCTCAATGTATTTTGAATATTAAACTTTTTACTTTCAATAAATATTTTGATATTTTCTTTAACATCTTCTCCTTTCTCTTGACTATAACCCAACATCCATAATATATCATAAATCAGTTCATATTGTTTCTTACTGATTTTAAATAACTGTTTAACCTAATCGTAAGGTGGTATTTTATTTACAGTTAGAAATATTAAAATATCATCTTCTACATTTCTATTATGTATTCTTTTTATTCCCATAACACATTTGATTAATTCTTGATACTATCTCCAATTTCTACAAATTTTACATAAATCTTCTTCATCCATTGAATAATTAATAATATTATTCACTATTTCATTAGGTAAACTCAATTTGTATAATTCCATATTTTCTTTTTTGAAGTGACAACAATCATAGCATTTTTTATTGATATAATTATTGATTTTATCACCGTTCATTTTCCTCTTATTATATTAAGGCACTATTTCTTTAAGTCATTTTTAAGGCATTAAGAAAAATTAAGAAACACACCATAAGTTTAGTATAATTATAACATAACATATTTTACATGTTACAATTATATTATGAGTTCAATTTATTAACCCAGTTCATGGGAAATAAATCCCCAGTTCATGGGAAATAAATCCCCAGTTCATGGGAAATAAATCCCCAGTTCATGGGAAATAAATCCCCAGTTCATGGGAAATAAATCCCCAGTTCATGGGAAATGAATCCCCAGTTCATGGGAAATAAATCCCCAGTTCATGGGAGTTCATGGGAAATAAATCCCCAGTTCATGGGAAATAAATCCCCAGTTCATGGGACATAAATCCCCAGTTCATGGGAGTTCATGGGAAATAAATCCCCAGTTCATGGGAAATAAATCCCCAGTTCAATGGGAAATAAATCCCCAGTTCATGGGAAATACATCCCCAGTTCATGGGAAATAAATCCCTTTTTCAATGGGGAGGTAGTTTGGTCATGCTGTTTGGGAGTTTTACTGTCTCTGACTGCATCAGATAATAAGTTCATTATTAAAGATATTTAGATAATATTCTCTATGAATAAATCCCTGTATCTTCATCATAGTCAATTTGATAAAATGTCATAGTTGAAGCCTTCGGTTCTTTAATTTCTGTGTTATTAAGTTTGTTTAAATACACTTGTTTCTTATTTTCATACTCACCATTGGTTCTATCTACTTCTTTACTTTGATAACTGTTTGTTAATGGTTTCTTCTTTTCCATTTCTTGTAAGATTTCTAAAATATTCTTATTCTGTTCTAAAACCTTATTCAGTTGTTTAACAATCTTTTCTAATCCTTCATCCATGTAAATATATACTAAATTATAAAGCTAAACACTAACGCTTTGTCTAGATATAAATATTCGTAGCTAAGACCAAAACTAATTAATAACAAGTTATATTTTTTAGTTTGAGTACGAGTTAAGACTATTTTACAACCACACTTACAAGTATAATAACTAACACCATTATAATTATTGTCTCCAATTTGTTTTGTCTAATTCAAGTGTTCCAAAATGTAAATTTGTTAAACTTGAAAATTCGTCCATATACTAAATTATAAAACTAAACTTTTAAAACTAAATGTTGCAATTATGTTAAATCTACTCTTTAAATACTATTTTTTCATCATTTCACGTATAGTTTCCTGAGTTTCCTTATCACCATTATATGATGGAGTAACTCCCCTCCCAAAGCGAATAGCAATATTATGAACATCTGCTTCTAAGTTGATACTGTCTTTAGTTTTATCAATCTTCATTTTCTTATCATTCTTACTTATTTTGAAACTGGTTGGAATACACGAACATTTACAGTTTCCTTTCTTTTGTATGTCTAATTCATTTTTCATTTCTATCATCTTTTTACACATCGGACAAGCAAACTCAATAACTGATGTTTCTTTAACAATTTCTTCTTTTTCTTCATCAGTTGAAGAAACAACTGGTTCAGTCTTATTCTTTTTCTTTCTTCCCATCTATATTAATATTTTTTATTTTTAATATCTTGTCTCACAAACTTAATTAATTCTAAAATAAAATAGCACATTTTTTGTATCTATTCTCAGTTATAACAACTTGTTCTATATTCTCTACTTCATCTATTATATCAATATAATCTGAATAACTTCTATCCATATTAAATAATAAGATGAAATAATTATTAAAATAAGTATTTGAACTTATTATTTCATGCACGGTAGAATATTCGGAGGGCACATCAATGGAGTTTTCTTCGCACTGGAAAACACAAGCGAGGTTCAAACTAATTCAAACTAATTAGTCTCAATGCTTATGATTGAAGTTGATGAAAGAGCCTGTTCTACTACGATAGACACCATTCATATCGTAGCAATGCTTTCATGCAATAAATAATATTAAATTATTTTCTAAATGTCTTTAATATTACTTTTATTATGCCTGATGTAAAACCAATTGATGAAATCAAATATGACTTTAAACAAAGTAAGCACGAGGTTGTCCCTAAATTGCCGATGAGAGCTATGATTGTAGGTCCGTCTGGTTCTGGAAAATCAACTTTACTTGTATCAATGATACTTGATATTTATAGAGGAGCATTTGAAAGGGTTTTTATCTGGTCTCCATCAGTAAATTTGGATAGTATTTGGTTGCCTGTTAAAAAATACATTAAAGAAGGTTTGAAAGTAGATACTGATAAAGAACCGTGTTGGTGGGATGAGTTCAATGTTGAAGATTTAGAAAGAGTTATAGAAACTCAAAATAAAATAATTGAATATCAGAAAAAACAAGGAATGAAGAAGTTATTTAATATATTAGTCATATTGGATGATGTATCTGATAATCCAGCAATAACAAGAACTAACAAATTGTTAAATTCTTTATTTTGTAGAGGTCGCCATAGCGGAATATCAACGCTTGTCAGTCTTCAAAAATCATCAACCGTTCCACCAATTATTAGGGTAAATATAAGTCATTTGTTTTATTATAAAGTTAGAAACTTCAAAGAGATAGAAATATTGCAAGATGAATTATCAGCAATTGTTAGAAGCGATGATTTACACGAAAGCAAGAAACTAATTTATAAAATATATGAGACTGCCACTGATGAACCGCATAGTTTTTTACAAATTAACCTTCTCCAAAAAGACCCTAACCGTATCTTTATGAAAAGCTGTTTACATTATTTGAAAATTACTAATTAAATAAATATATATATTAATATTATATGATATCTTATGATTTACCATTAGATATTGAAAACCTTGTATTATCTTATAATTTAGGTGATGTTAGATTATTAAAAATAAAAAATAATAGTATTATTAGAAATTATATTAATAAATTTAAACCAGTATACAAGTCTTACAAATTAAATAATAAGCAATATTGTGAAATTGATAATATCAATATTAATAATGGTATATCATATATTGTTGATTTAAGTGACTTAGATAAATTACATCAAAAACATAAACCATTAAAATTATTAATTGAATATGAGATACTTGCTACATCTACTTCATTTAAATGTTTGAAGCAAGTTCGTAATCGTACTTTAACATCAACTAATTTATTTGATATTTATTATTTTCTTAATAAAGACCTTCATGAAACTAAATTAGTGTATAGTCATAATATGGTGAATTTTATTTCATTACAAGTGAAAAAAATAACTATTAAAATAATCGATGATGATAAACAAAGTATTATTAGTAAATTTTATTCATATATTTTCAATTAATAATGTTAATAATGTTTAATATTATGA